GATGTGATGCAAGGTTGCTCTCGCATTATCACCGTCCGACGGCAAGGGACTATGGAACTTTGTTGTCGGTGAAATTATTTGAAACTAAGTAGACCTAGTCAGTCACTTGCAGCGGAGTACAAGACAGCATTGTCAAGAAATAGTTATGAAAATCTTGTCTATGTCATTAATGATAAAGTATAGGAGATTATGTCCGTCTAGTACAAGTCCTGAACGCCTGCTTCTATGCCACTAATTCCTTCGCTCATGCCCAATATTGTCCGTCATAGTTGGAGACAGTCTTGCTCCACAATCAACCTCTATGCGTTGTCTGTTTTGTATTATCTAATTCATAAGCAGATATGCAACCATACCGACATCTTAAGCCATGCCACCCTGGATGTTCTCAGGGTTGAGCTTCTTCCATCGGGTAGCAAGGGCAATGATGGTGGTGAGGCCGGTGGCGGCAATGGCCATGGCAAAGGTGACCTTGAGACCGTGCATGTATCCGTCAATGACGATGGGCTGCTCCTCGGCGGAGAAAGAGTCACGGATGGCGGTGGCTCCGGTAAGGATGAGAGTCTCCTTGCTGATGTGAGGAGCGTGCTCGACCACGTATGAGATCATCTGGTTGACAAAGGCGGCCTGGCCAGCAGAGACGAGGAATGCACCTCCAAGACCCTGGAAGACTGCGACTTGTTAGTAAGATGGTTGTTAATGAGTTAGGAAGAGTCAACTTACACAGGAGGATACCGGTGGCAGAGGCAAGGTCCTTGGGCTTGACGCTGCCCTGGACAGCAATCATGGGGATCTGGAAGGCAGCGCCCCAGCCAGCACCAGCAACGATTTGGTAACCAATCCACTTGCCGGTAGAGGTGTTGACGTTGAGAAGGTACAGAAGACCAGCACCAATGGTCGCAATGGCGGAACCACCGATGAGGAGGGGCTGGTAGTAGCCAGTGGCAGAGACCAGAGCACCGCTTCCGATGGTAGCAAAGGTGACAGCGATGATGAAGGGCAGGTTGCGGACACCACTGCTAGTGGGGCTAGCGTCGTGAACAGACTGGAAGTAGATGGGAATGTAGTAGATGGCGAGGAAGAAGGCACCGGCAAAGACAAAGGCAAAGGCGCTCATGACGGCGACGGTGCGGTCCTTGATGAGGTGACCAGAGATCATCGATCGCTCACCCTGGTACCAGCAGGCAAAGACCCAGGTGGCAATGATGAGGACGAAGCCGACAAGGAGACCGATGACGACGGAGGAGTCCCAAGCGTGGGCCTGACCACCGTACTGGACAGCGAGGATGTAGGAGATGGTGGCGCCCATCATAAGGACGATGCCGATGGGGTCCATCTGTCGGATCTTCTCAAGGAGAGGGGCCTTCTCGGGGATGGCAGTGCGGGGAGTCTGGAAGAAGAGGAAGATGATACCGGCAGAGACACCTCCGATGGGAAGGTTGATGTAGAAGCACCATCGCCAAGAGACGTGGTCGGTGAAGGCACCGCCCAGGAGAGGGCCGATGACACTGGCAACACCATAGGCGGCACCGATGATACCGGTAAAGGCAGGTCGCTTCTTGGGAGGGGCAGAAAAGGCGATGATGGTATAAGCTCCAGCACCTAGACCAGCAGCGCCGACACCAGCGATGGCACGACCAGTGATGAGGGCCTCAGCGTTGGGGGCAGCACCGCAGATGACAGAGCCGAGCTCGAAGATGAGGATGGCGACGATGAAGGATGTCTTGAGAGGGAAGTACTTGTAGATTTTACCCCCTGGGTCGAGTTAGCGATAGGGCTGAGGGGCGTCAGGGGGTTCTAGACTTACAAGTTGATTGAAAGGCGCCGACAGTCATGAAGAAGGATGCACCGTACCAGCCGACCTTGTCAAGACCCTTGAACTCTTCAGTGATCTTGGGGATAGCGGTGGCAACGATAGTCTGTTGATGGAGTCAGAATGGTGTGTTACTCAAGGGGTAAGGGAGTGACCCACCAAATCAAGGGAGAAGAGGAAAACACTGAGGACTAGAGCGAGGACGATGAAGAACATCTTGATACCCGATGGGTACTCATCTTCACTGAGTTCATCTCCACCGTCGACAGTGCCATCGTCGATGTCCTCAACCTCCTGACCCTCCTTCTTCTCTTGTACGTCTTCTCCTCGGAGGGTCGAGGTGGTGGATTCGGGGCGGTCCGGCACTTCAGGGACCTCGAGCTTAGTCGGTTCGGCACTCATTGTGATTGTCGTTACTGTAAAAGGCCAGGCTCTGGATTTTCGTGTGAAATTTGAGCTTATCTCAAGCTGGAGATGGATGCCCGGGTGAGTGTTGTCGGCTGAAGCTGTTGATCTGAGATCTGGACCATCACCAACAACGGCGAGACAGCATCATCTTTATATCGAATGAAAGTCATAGCGCCCGATGTTGCCAAATTCGCAATCTGACTGTGCTCAGGGAGTTAAGATGCAACCGTATTCCAAAATCCGCTGTCCTTAGACCCGACAAACAATAACGAGCATAACGTCTTGTCCAGCCAGTCAAGGGTTGGCGGAGTAGCGGACTCCACTTGATGTCCGCCGCAGCCAGCAGCCAGCGTTATCACACACACACTCACACTTCATCTACTCGTCCCAAGATGGACACATCTCGTAAGCATATTCCGCACAAGTTCGGCAAGCGCTGACGCTAAAGTGAATAACCTCCAATCTCGTGCGGATATTGGACGATCCAAGGCGGCTCATGGGCTTGTATTGGGCCGAGACGGAAGGCTTTGTGGCTTGCGTTTTTGGCGTTGCTGCGTGGGTTCATGAGCTTTTCGTCCGTTGACTCGGACGAAATAAACGGTGGTGGTGTCAGAACCCTGTTGCTTAAAATCGCAGAAACTTTCCTCGACAAGCATATTCCAGAACGGCATGGCTCATGATGACGCGTGTGGCATCATCTCTGCCACGTGTTGGGCTGTTTTCCCAAGTCATCTTTGGCGAGCGAGATGATCTAACATCCATCCCTTGCCATGAAAAAAAGATCTACCGTATCAGCCGTATCCAGTCGGATGGCACGGTGGGTACTACACTGCAGTCAGATTAGGGAGCCTCAAAGGAAGCGACCCCCAGCTTAACGCTTGGCATAACTGTAAAAAAAGCTTCACCGTCTGCTGCGGACACATTATCTCGGCAGATGAGAAGGATTGAGTGGAGAGTCGAAAACCATGCCGTGACTCATTTGTGGGAACATTGATACGAAATGCTTAATCCCACGCAGACTTGTTCAACACCATGGTTGACTGGAGTTAGCCTGGAGATTGGAGATAGCCAAGGTGACATGCAGATCTGCCTGGCTGTGTGGTGTAAGACCCGGTCACCATCGGTAGCTCCGGACTTAACGAGCCAGGATGCATCCCTCGACAAGGCCTTTTGTTTTACGTCCTCCTCAGAGACATGTCCGTCCACCTTGTATCTCATCTCACGCGTCAGCAGAATGCTGGCGCATGGTGCTGTAGTAGCCCTATGAAACTCTAGAAGACAAGCATGGGTCTCTCCCTTGCAAGGAGGGAAATCTTGGGTCGGGTTATGGCTGCAGATCCCGAACAACCCTGACTAAACCCACCCGGTGCTCCCCGGGTGAGTCCCAAGCTTGTTTTGACTCTGTTGCAATAAAGGATCATTCTTTCACGGACGGATTTCGTGCGAATGAGTGGGCAAGTGGTGCCAGATGGGTTGCGGATTAAGGCGGAGTTTTGTAAGCACCCGACACACCGACGCTGCGGAGCGTTATGTTGAGACAGTTTGCGTTACCATGCTGACGAATTTTCAGCGTCTGCCAGATGAGATTGTTCCGAAGGCCGACACTAGAAATTTTCTGTCTCAAATGGTTGGTTGGATTTGTGGTGGGCGGCGCCAGAGCTCTCCAGTTTGGAATCTGGGCGTGAGATGATCTGGATCCTTGTCCATCAGCCAGATGCTACGAAGGGAGTCACGTGAGAATTCTCGTGACTTCTGAGAGCTTTTAATCACATGAGTAAGCACGTGAGAGATTAAGCCACCATATTGGACAGCCACACATCCACCAGCCACAGAGCTTTGCGGGGCTTGAACAGGGCTTGGCATCTAAGCTCAAGATGGTGAGTTATGCGGTCCGGCAACGGAGCCGGTCGCATGGCCCGGCGGCAGAAGGCGTCTTTACGTCACGGAGCTGGTAAACTGGGGTAGTTCGGCTTGACGTGGAGGTCATGAACATAGGAGTTTGTCATGGATCTCGAATATGGAATTGACATAAAGATGAGCTGCTTTACCTCGATATGGCAAAGAACAAGGCCCTGTTCTTCATGTCCAGGCTTCACGGCTGTTGGCCGAGGTAGGCAAGCGGGCTGTCGGTATCGATAAGAGCTTCACGAACAACGCCTCTCCCAAAACGACAAGAAAATCGACAATTCTATGCATGGCTTTCAGGTCTGCAATTGAACTTCCTCATAGGCTCAAGCTCAAGCTGGAGCAGGTCCTCGGCTCTGGGGAACCCTGGCCCTGAATGACCAGATCAAAAGGCGTAAAGATAACCGCAGGGCGGGAAGCAATTGCCGACCTGTCTCGCCCGCCGCCGGCCATAGCCACCTTACCGAAAAGAGGCAATAAATGGTAATTTCTCGACGGGCAACCACCCACTTCAGAACATCATTTGTCTAACGGACACGGCTTGACTGTTACGCCTCCCTGTCAATTCCTCCACTCGGGAGCCTTGTACTTGCAGTTTGGGGGACGCCCCCTTGTGGAGATTTGTGGAGGAGGCGGCGATAAGTGAGAGATTGGGAAGCATTCTGCTTCACAAGCTACCCCTCCTCTAAACTCGGGTCTGCCAAACAGCTATAAGATGGGCGCTCCCCATGGCTCTGGGCTCGTGAGGGTCTCACGTTCTCGTATCTTTTGCTCCGTGTACCATAATAAACCCGTGCGACCGTTGATGCTCCTTCGGTGCCGTCCTTCATTACCCCCTCTGAGCAGATTCACCACGATACATCACAGCTTCAGCACAATGGCCGACCTGTTTGTCAACCTCGAGGCGCCCAACGGCGTCAAGTACAAGCAGCCTACTGGACTTTTCATCAACAATGAGTTTGTGCCTGGCTCATCAAGCCAAAAGATCACCTCAATTGACCCTGCGTGAGTACCTTGGACCCGATGTGTTAGAGCTGCGCTGATAGGCAATTGCTTGCAGTACCGAGAAGGAGATTGCCACAGTCCACGCCGCCAACGCCGACGATGTCGACAAGGCTGTTAAAGCCGCCTACGCTGCCTTCCGGGCTCCTTCATGGAAGAAGATGCCCCCTCCCGAGCGAGGTGTCCTGATGAACAAGCTCGCCGATTACATTGAGCAGCGCAAGGAGATCTTTGCTACTTCAGATGCCTGGGACAACGGTATGTTTCAAGGATGGGATTCAAGTACATATGAAGTGTACTGACATCTTGTGTGTAGGCAAGACATATGCCGATGCCCTCGGTGGTGACCTCGCCGAGGTCGTCAACACCATCCGGTACTATGCCGGCTGGGCCGATAAGATCCACGGCCAGACCATCACCGCGAACCCTCTCAAGCTGGCTTACACTCTCCGCCAGCCTCTCGGTGTCGTTGCCCAGATTATTCCCTGGAACTACCCCCTCGCTATGGCCGCCTGGAAGATCGGCCCCGCTCTCGCTTGCGGAAACACCATCGTCATGAAGGCCGCCGAGCAGACCCCTCTGAGCATTTTGCTCCTCGCCGAAGCCTTCAAGGCTGTTGGCTTCCCTCCCGGTGTTTTCAACGCCATCAACGGCTACGGTGCCGAGGCAGGCCCTCCTCTGGTAGAGCACAAGCTGGTTGACAAGGTTGCCTTTACCGGCTCCACCGCCACCGGCACTCAGATTATGAAGATGGCCTCCAAGACCCTCAAGAACATTACCCTCGAGACCGGAGGAAAGTCTCCTCTCCTGGTCTTTGCCGACAGCGATATCGAGGAGGCTGTCAAGTGGTCGCATATGGGCATCATGTCAAACCAGGGCCAAATCTGCACCGCCACATCTCGTATCCTGGTCGAGGATAAGGTCTACGACCAGTTCATCAAGCGCTTCCTCGAGACGACAAAGACGGTCAGCAAGGTCGGTGACCAGTGGGACTCTGACACGTACCAGGGCCCCCAGGTCTCAAAGCAGCAGTACGAGCGTATCCTGGATTATATCCAAATCGGAAAGTCTGAGGGCGCTCAGATTCTCTCTGGCGGAAAGGCTGTCGACGCCACCAAGAAGGGCTTCTTCATCGAGCCCACAGTTTTCGGTGAGGTCAAGGACACTATGCGCATCTTCCGCGAGGAGATTTTCGGTCCCGTGGTCGCCATCGCCCGCTTCAGCTCCGAGGAGGAGGCCCTGAGCCTGGCCAACGACTCTGCTTACGGTCTTGGCGCCGCCGTCTTCACCAAGGACGTCGAGCGGGCGCACCGAGTTGCCTCCGAGATCGAGGCCGGTATGGTGTGGATCAACAGCAGCCAAGACAGCGAGCCCTACATCCCCTTTGGCGGTGTCAAGCAGAGCGGAATCGGACGCGAGCTCGGCGAGGCGGGTCTCGAGGCTTACAGCAACACCAAGGCTGTGCACGTCAACCTGGGAGCTCGTCTGTAAGCTGTGCATGACTTTGGCTGTTGATGACACCCGGTACAAGGAATAGGCGCTCGGCGTAAATAGTATATCATTTGAATACCAAAATTGTTAAATCGTGTAACTAAGAGTCCCCTGTCGCATCTATCTTGCTGGTGCTACGCGTGTCATGACAAGTCACTTGTCATGAGGCCTGGAGAGCAAGTCTTGGCGTCTTACGGATAAGCTGAGAGATTAAGGTTAAAACGCCCAGGCTATGTCATTGATAAGCAGTAGAATTCTAGTGACTTTGTATCTAGGACATGGTTACATAGTACATAGTGTCATGCATGCGGGATGTTTTGTCACTGCCCCAAGATGGGCTCATGACGTGGGTAAGCTCTTTAGATCGTCTGAATGCTTACGACCATGATCAACCTCATTGGCTACTTGACACCGATAACATCTACGATGGGGACATGGCCTGCTTTGATGAGGTTGGGCTTCTGCGATATATTTCTGCGTAACTGTTGGCAGAAATTCCAACTCTCCGCCACAACTAATATCCAACTCTGCGCTCTCCTGCTGATGGATTTACTTATTCCTCGCAATATGCGCTATTTCTGGTGGTAATGCGTGTACCTTGATGACCTTGTTGGACGGAGGCTTATAATGGCTTCAACGTTCAAGTGCTATGATGTTGTCCAGCCGGCTACATGTGGTTGGGGGGAAGAATGGCCCAGCGCCAGGGCAAACAGAGCTTTGTCATTGTCTTGGAACGGTCAGACTGGATACATCTAAGAAGTATGGGATTTGCATCCAGTTGAGGGGGAACGGTCGGACTAAGGAATGAGGGCTGAGCCGTTTCAGCCCCAACGTCTCCATACCATTGCGTTTGGGCAGTGATATGCTGTTGGATTTATTGGCACAGTTTGAGACTAGAGTGATACTGGAGCAGAGTGATGTTCTCATACGGCTGGGCAAGGCTCATGGCTTTGGTCGATGTTTCCAGGTCGTGGTTCCGTCCAAGATATAACTCTTGTTGATCCTACCACGTCTGACCAGTATTCTGTAGTATCAAGCCACATTCAGGTTGCGGGGTTAGATATATGAAATGTTTATTACCAAGACCTAGATACAGCTAGCTTTTCTTAACAATAAATTTGGAATATTAATCGTAGCATATGTTGACTGTTGAATCACATTCCATGGAAGATCATACTCGAACTTAATCATGCTAGCTACTGATGTTGTAACTTGTAGAGTATGCCGACGCAACGAACCAGTTCCAAAATTGGACACCTACATAGAAGTGGCTAGCAACACTTGTACTTTCAGATAGGCTGAGAAAATATAGGACAATGTGGTGTTCAGCGGCCAACCCCCTCCCCTCCCTAATAGCATCGCTGGCTTGAGTAGCCAAGGCATGATGGCTGGAACCCAAACAAGATGACTGCCCCGTCTTTACGTGCGTATCTCAATCAAATGAAACTTCCATGATCGCCCAGCAACTGAAGCCCTGGGCTTCGCGAAATGCCGGTCATGCCTGAAGAGCGTTCCATACCTTAACGACAAGTTCAGACACCTTATTTGCTAGGTGCTCGTGGAGATGTTCCTGATGAGTATAAATACAGCCTCCATCATCTCTGCTCACCATCCTTTCCTTACCAACAACGGTAGAGAAACCTAATCCACCAGCCAACCTAAGGACACCCTATCTTTATCTCCGTATAATCTTAGCCATCCTTCAAAATGGTCACCAAAACACTCCACATTAGGGTCAACCCTGCCATGATCCGGCAGTTTAACCAGCAAGGTTACAAGCTCTGCTTCGCCACTGGTGTTCAGACCGGTGGAAGAGTCAGCTACAACGTGATCGCCTCAACCAACAGTACGGACCCCCAAAGCTCAATTAAATCGTTACAACTTTCTCACTAGGGACTACTAGGTGTTGCCGCAAACATCACGATTCAGTGGGAGGACTCGTATGCTATCGCTGGCAGTACGACCTCGTTTCAGCCAGGAGGTCATTACCAGTCCCAACTTCTCCATTACCTGCAGCACACTTACTAGAATCCTCAGCCCTGGTCGATGTGGCCACAAACACCGTCGGCATCAATTTAGGCCAGAGTTACACCCTACCCCAGGACTTTACCGACGGACCCATCAACGATGACTCCTCGGCTCCTAAAGATGGTATCCGCTTTGTCAACAGGACCGGCGCGGCTGCTGCAGTCCTCTTCAAGAGAATCAACGGTCAGAATGCCCCGATCTACATCAGCGCCAATGCCCCTCTTCCCCCAGGCACCGAGGACATCACCCCGCTTAGCAGGGTGGCCGTGTGGTTCCAGAACGAAGCCCAGACCTCTATGATGATCTCCAACCTCCCTGGAGGTTCTAGGGAGATGGAAATGAGCTTCATGACGGAGGCAACACTGGAGTACACTGGTTCGGGAAGTTGGGTCCAGGTTTAAGAAGCTTGTTCTCGACCTCAATCCTCGGTTGGCTTCGAGACCAGGAGGATGGGCTTCTAGAGCACAAGAGTGCAAAGCCCTTGGCTAGCTGAAGACAGGCGAAACCATTGGAATAACTGCCTCAACGGTTCGCGGGCAGTACAAGATCTCTCAGGAGTCTCTTTGTCATTGATGCCTTTTGGCTTTGACTCTGCGCTATCCTCCTCGCTTTTTAACCTTTTAACCTTTTCTATGTGAGATCCACAACCTAGGACAACGTGAAGATGTCATAAATGCGCATTATCCTGTGTGAGCGCTTCCTCAGGCCGTCTGCTGATTGTTTCTGAACTGCCCATCATGGAGGAACTTTTCTGTGATTGGACTATGCAGTGTTCGTATGTGCTCGTATAATACCTGCGGAGTGACCGGATAAATGTAGCCCCGCACCACCAAAGTGGCTGGCAGCAAGCCAAGTGGTCAGAGCTCTCAGCTACAGTGGCTGAGTCGTAGTAGCTTGCCAACCGATACGCCAGGCTGTGGCACAGTCACGACGTAATACGCTGGTGACTTGGGGCGCAATACGCTGTAACACCCGAGGTCTAGATGTAATTTGACAGCTTCCACGTCGGGGATCAGCTCTTGAAAGAATGCCTTATCTTTAGCGCAACTATTCATTTGAAACTGGGTATGAAAGATAGCCGACCAATGATGGTTAGAACATCCTAGCAAGCGGGGGTCTTGCAGAGAGTATATATTGTCTTGGGTGGGCATCATGATCCTGCGACGTCATGGTTAGTTGGGTGACTGTAGTACAACACAGCAAAGCTCACGCGACATTTTTCTTCTTGGCGATTTCTCCATTGATCCGGTTATTTACTCTTCTCTTTATCCATCCTCTCTGCGATAATTCAACAATGGAAGATTTACCACCAGACTATCAGGATCAGGATCTCCCGTCCTACGAAACCATCACCAATACCACAGCAGCTGTCCCCGCCAAAAGCGTCCTCGGCCCCGCAACGCTCTACATCTCGGGCCGCTTCGTCTACTCAACCGACCCCCAAGCGCCGCCGCTGTACGAATTCTCCCACTCTATCGGCTACTTGCACGAGAACGACCGCAGCGTAAAGGTCGAACGGGTTGATCAAGTTGTCAAGACATCAGCCGGGACATCACAGGTCGTTCTACGGAATAGACACCTCTTTGATCTAAAGCACCCGACCGCTGCCGAGTTTCCCAACTTTGCGTACCACGCCGAGGCTGCGAATCGTCGTGTGCCGTGTTCGTTTGGAGCTTCTAGTTTTCGAGCTGGTGGGATATTAAGACATGGGAAGGGATATCGCTTCGAGCGTGCGGTGAAGGGTGCCGATCGAAAGCTTGAAGCCCAAGATGCGCTGTTCGAGGTGAACCCTTCGCGGGACAAGGCAGTTGGATACGAGTGGAGGGATGCGCAAGGGGAGCTGATAGCTCGTGAGGTCAAGGATGAGATGGCGAGCATGAGCCTTGTCATCACAGCCGAGATGAGCGCCGACATGCGCGATGCTCTCGTGGCGGCGTGGATCATCAGGATATGGTGGCAGCTGTCAAACGGGGATCATTCAGCGATGCGTATGATGATGGTGAGATTCAAGATTGTCAACACCGTTGGCTATGCTCCCTGATAGCTGACAGGATCCAGGTCAACGCATCACGAGGTCAAAGGATCGTAAGCGGATCAAACTTGAACAGAGCAAGGTGAGTGAAGCGAATGGTGATTATCCATTGCGTATGTTGCCTTTACTAACGACTGGCAATAGTTATCTACTCTGAGAAACAAGTGATACGCTGCTGGCTGGCGTGGTGCTTGAGCTCGCATACCGTACCCATGCGAGAACATCAGACTGTTTTGCAAAGGATTTGAGCAATAATTTGGCAGCGACATGAATGATTTTGATAGGATTTGATTTATTAAGCGATATCCTGGAGTGGCGATAGGTTCAATATATGTCCCATAGGCTGATTTTGCCGTCTTTGGCACCAGCTGCAATCCAATGCGTTTTTCTTGCCGTGGCTATTCGCTGGTCCTTGACACTGAGACCCGTTCGAATGAGAGAACCGGTTCTTTTACTCACGATACTTTGGTTTTGGCTTTCTGGCTCATCTGCTTGTTGATTCTCCTTCTCTTTTGCTTCCGAAATGGTAACATCAGCAAAAGCAACGGCATAGCATCCTACTTGATGCCATTTCAACACTGCTAGCTCCTTCATCGTCTTGGCTGAATACACCCGAACCTTGGAGTCCCAGCCTGCCGTGGCGAATATCTTTCCGTCGGAGCGTATGGAGAGACTCTGCTGGCCGGAATGCTTGGTGTTGATGGTTTTGAGAGGATCTTTCCAGGGAACACCTTTTCGAGGCGGAGCCGACTCCCTCTGTGAGGGTGAGCCTTTTAGGGCCGCTGATAAAAGAGACTTGGGAGCTTTAGGTTCCTCGTCTATGATTTCAACGACTCGTTCAGTGCTGTTTTGTGGTTCGGTGTTCTCGATGGGGAAAAAGAGGTCTGATGGAATGGGATGCTTGGCGATGATGGAATCTGCGCTGGAAGTGATAAAGTAATCTTGGTACACGCTCAAGGATAAAACAGGTTGCGAATGAGCTTGGGAGTGGTATGTCGTCGTCCATTGACCATCGGACTCGAGACGTTGAACGGTGGTGTATCCATTCTCGAACGCGGCGATGAGTGTGAGAGCGTCGTTGTGATGGAGGAGAGCAAGACACATGGCCATGCCCGTCTTATCCTTGGCCTTGAGAGTATGCACCCGCATTTGCGACGGTAATGTATATATGTCAATCTGTTGCATATGAGTCTGCCGCCTGAATACTGAAAAGACGATGCTAACTTACAGCGTCAGAGGCCAAAGTGTTGGGCACGGCGATGAAAATCTCAGAAGCGGCGTCGAAAGAACCGGGCGCGGTAGAAGTAGCGGCAAAAGCGCAAAAGTTGAGGGTATTCACTTCAAGAAGATGAAGCATCCAAGGCTGCGCCCTAGGCTCTGCAACATCCTCCACCGGTAGCGCCTTGCTGAGACGTTCCTCATCCGCCTCGCCAAGCTTCCACACAATGAGCTTCATGTCGCGCCCATGACTGTCGCACAATCAGTAACTCTCCCTCCCGACCAAGTTGGCAATTTACGTGATAATCTTGTCGTCGCCCCAGCCGCGAATGCCTAGTATGGCCTTTTCGTGCGCGCGCCAGACGGCTTTGGGTCGCATGATGGTCAGGTCCCAGACGACGACGAAGCCATCCGCGTCGCCCGTCACGAGCCGCTCGTTGGATCTGATAAAGACTGCGGCGTGCACTTGTGATTTGTGACCGCGGAGGATCGATTTCGGTGACGGCGCAGAAGATGCCATGTTTTCTTTGGTTGGTGAAGGTTATAGGAATCTGATGAGTTTGGCGAGGTGAGCTTGGAATTTGAGTGGGTGTTTGTGGAACACCAATGCGCTTTGGTCATTATCACGGCAACACTCACTTGTCAACATCTTCCACGAAATCATAGCCATGGAGTTGACAGAGTCCTAATTATAATTCTTCATTACAGAGAATGTGCAAATAAGTCTATAAAATAAAAGAAGCGTTCTTCTGCTCCCCTGCCTGTGTCGCTTCCTTCTTTGCCTCGGCGCCCCAGATGTCCAGGTGAGGTGAGAGTAACCAAGGAGTGAGCACTTGAGGCTCTCCACTGTCGATTCCGTCGACAATCGTGATCCATGGATGAGAGAGACGTGGGTTAGATGTAATGCCCAAGGAACGTTGAGCCAAGAAGCCAACCCCATGAACCTCCAAAGAACGCCCGAGACTGCACAAAACACTTGTTTTTGATACCTATTCTTTGCTATATATAGGTAGGTACTGCGACATGGACGACGTATATAATACGAACCTTGAGAAAACCTTCTGTATGCACTCGTAGTCCAGATGGGCACTCACCCTAACAAAACTTCGGTCTACTCTCGGTGTTGCACAACACCATCTGCAAGTCATCTCAATCTGCATCAAGAGTTGAGACTTCCAGGCCTCCAAGCTGAGAAACCACCACCTCCGAACCCAAGGAAGCACAACAGGTACAATCGCTTCGACTCTTCAGCTCGACTTGGCAGCAGCAGGCGTGCCACGCAACCACAGACAGCCAATTTACACTTTTGAGCCATGTAGGCGTAACCGGTACGACTTGAAAGCCGTGTATCCCAACACATCGTCTGATGGAGGGTGAGAGCGAAAGAAGGAGAGTCAATGGGGGCGCTCTGCCGCAGGACGAGACACACGGTACACACGAGGGATATTGACACTGACGAATCGATTTCAATAAGCGAAAACAGGCCGGCGGATGGAAGGAAAAGAGGCAATGACGATATTGGTCCAAAAATCCGCTCCCCCAGAGACATTTTTCCTTTCCCCTTTCTCTCTCACACACGCCCTGTCAATCCGGCTTCCGGCAGAGAACCAAGTCATGATCCTGGGCGCCACATGTGTGATGCATGGGGGGATAGAGGTCATATCCGGCACATGGGTGTTATTTGGCTCCGTCCCAGTTTGGTCTGCCGGAAAGGGGAGGCATATACCTTTTTCTTTTCTTTTTCCTTGTCTCTGATATTGACTGATAGCGACGCATGGATTTGTCATGCGAATCACGGTCGTTGTCGGTCCAATGCCCAGAAGTTGTAAGAGCCGTCTTAAAATCTCTCACTCTAAAGTCTCCCTCGAGGATACAGAGAAATAGGCAGAAAGAGAGAGATCGATACACAAAAGCAATGCCCGTGTAATGGTCTCAGCATCTGTCAGCCAGGCCTTTCCGAATCACAGCCGAATGCCACTCGTACTCGCACGACAGGGCCTGGCCCGACCTTGAGATGGGCTCGCCGGCTACTCCAGCTCATATAGATGTATCCAGCGCCTCGGGTTTCGGCGGGACAGGGTGCTGTCCCCAGAAGTACAGCACTCCTTAATCAAGGTAAAGAAAGGCTCGGTTATCGCTAGGGATTCCAATTGCCGTCTTTTTTGTCCTTTGCAGCTCCCCTTCTCCGGTTCATTCTCTTGCAACGTCCCGTTTGCCGGCCCTATCGCACGCGCTGCCTGGGTCCTATCCTACCTCCGACGGTGGGGCGGAGTCAATCCCGAACCTGCGCGGCCTTGTCTCCCGACTCGGGGATTCAGGAACCGACCGGCTGTCACCTGTGGTCCGTGGATCCTATGATTTCATCGAGTCTCGTGCTGGCCGTCTCTAGGCATTGGCTGCTTTGATCAAGAGATTCCCGAGGCTGGACGATATCATAGGCCTCTCTTCTCCGTGTCAAACAATCAACACCAAACACTAACACCAACCATCCCCCGGTAACTTGGACATAATCACTCAACCCTCACCTGGCCTCTTGCCCGGAGAGCCAGGCGGATAACTGTGTCTGCGCACCAAAGCCTCAATGACATCGCCGTGCTTGGTGTTAGCCTCGGTGCGGCGATGCAAAATGACGACTCTGGAAGCAGACAGACCATGCCCTTCTCCCAAGAGTGGCATGGCCAACCACCGCTCTCCTACACGACCGAAAACCCTCCTCAGTTTAGTCGTCCTCTCGAATTCCACCACCAGAGCTTCCCGGCTTCCGACGGGACAGGCACCCATCAGTCGCCGCCGGGAGTCTCTTCGGTGGAAAACACCAGAGGGATGACGACCCCAAGGACAACTGGAACCTCAGCTTCAGCTTCAACACCGGCAAAGGGAAAACGCGTACGGACCGGGTGCCTGACGTGCCGGGAGCGTCACCTCAAGTGCGATGAGGCCTCGCCGGACTGCCTCAACTGCCGCAAGCGAGGCCGTGAATGCAAACGAGGAGTACGTCTCAACTTTCTTGAAATTAACCTCCACAGGCCTGCTGCTTCTATGCCACCTCCCGAGGAGTGGGCAGGTACGCAAAGCAACTACCAGTCGACCCCGGACAAGTTGTGCTGACCGTGTTAGTCGAGTTCCAAGACGAGTCTCGAGATATCGCCTCCGAGTACCAGGGTGGTCTCGGTCGCTATGCCCCATATGATCTGGGGCCTGATAGTGTCGGCGAAAAAGAGGATCCGAAGCCTCTAAAGACGGAAGAGGAGTATCCAGAGCCGGGTCCGAATGACAGGCCGGGCTCGCGGCGGCTCCACGATTATATGGCTCCTGACGATAGCACCCCGAGGGCTTCAGAGACATCTTTGCTGCAGCATCATGAGGACATGGCAAGGGCTGAAGCCAATGATGGTGGAGGAATGATAAGCGATGTTTCCAATATTGCAACTCCCTCATCGTCGACACATTCCACCACAACCCCGCGGCCAGACTTTAACCAGGAGCAACTTGTGGCAGTAAGAAAACGGCCATCCCCGCATCAAGCAAGTATTGAGACAGTCGATTTGGAAATGCCCCAGTTTGACAAGCCGTCACGCATGGAGAGAGCACCCGTTGAGCAGGGCTTTCGTGATAACCCTATCCAGCCATTCCCCAGCGAGATGAGCGAGACCATGGGGCGTGACATCCTAACCTCGGCTGACGAGGTCTACTACATGCAGATCTTTGTCGAAGAGGTTGGTGTATGGATGGACTCGTTCAACAAGGACAAGCACTTTGGTAGAAACATTCCGTACCACGCCCTCAAGTCGACCATGCTTCTCAACGCCCTCCTGGCTTGTGGAGTCAAGCACATCTCTCTCGTCTCACCAGAGAACCACGATAAAGCCTTGTTCTACTACAACACGGCCACGACGCAGCTTCTCCGCAGTCTGCAGAACCCCGACCGGAACACGGCTGAGTGCGCCACCACGGCCATTGTCCTCAACGTGTACGAGATCATGTGTGAGAAGCCCGCCCAGAGGATGAGTCACATCGCAGGTTCGCGGGCACTGGTACGAGAGTGTGGGTGGAATGCTAGGAGCACTGGTATTGGATCAGCGTGTTTCTGGTTGAACATAGGAACCGAAGTTCTCAACTGTCTTGCGGCCAACTGGCAAACGACGTGGAACCCTGATGAATGGGGTGTCGACTTTGAAGTTCCTGGTCAAGGGCCAGAGAGCGAGATTGGGAATGAACAGGCGTGGGTGCACCGCATCCTCTACATCGTGGCCAAGGTTGCCAACTTTCGAGCGACAAGGGCTAAGCCTGAGGACATGGACCCGAGGGATGAACAGATCTGGTTGGGGAACCGCATGTCCCAGTGGCACGAACTGAAGAGGCTGTGCGATGACTGGAACAACAGTTGTCCTAGGACGATGCATCCGTTTGGCTATGTGAAGCAGTCCAAGTCAACCGCAAAGTCGGCATTCCCTCGTATATGGTAAGTCGACCTCTTATCTAGAATGTTAGTGAAGATGTAAGTTAACCTGAGATAGGATGATACAGCGGGAAGCAACGCTGGGTCGTCTGCTTTACCACGCTGCCCACTGCATCCTCTCACAAACACATCCCCTGGAATCCATCACATCCTCTGAGAGGATGCGATTTCTGCAACTTCACCACGCATACCAAGTCTGCGGCATTGTTGCCCACACCAACGACCGTGGTGTTTCCATCGTGGCCATTCGCTGCTTAGCAATAGCTGGTGCTGTCCTCACCAATCCCAGCGAACAGGCCGAAGTTCTCGACATGCTCGACAGGATCAACACGATGAGCGGCTGGCGACTGAGTACTGTAGAGATGGAACTGAAGACGATCTGGGGCTGGGAACGGATGAAGCTACCCGTACCTAGTCCAAAGACGGATTTAAGCCAGAGCCAGGGGATGCCATCCGTGCGGAGGGCTTCGATGCCCTTGATGTCAGGGAGGGTTTCCACACCGCCAGTCATGGCTGCAGTGGGAACAAAGACACCGGTGAACCCATTGAGCTTTGCTGATTTCAAGTTACCCAACCACCCGTACCAGAACTGGTACGAGCCACCAAACCGGACGGGTTCGTTCAACCCTCCTTCACTCTGAAGTGAGGGTTCACAATCAACTTGTGAGAGACGCTGAAGATGTAAGGACTGAGAGTTGTAAGTCGAAGAAAAAAAAGGAGTGTTTCTCAAAGTATATGTCAAAGTTGTTTAGACGGCGTTGGAGTTTCTTGGCATGTCTATTACTCTCTTCTATGTTTCTGGGACTTGCCGGTTTAAAACAAAGTAGAAGAAAAATCTTTCTTTTTCGATTTCTTTAATCCTTAGGATTTCGCGGAGGAGCCCCCGCCGGGCTGGAAATTCATGCTGTACCCGCCCGTCTTCTCGTCTTTGACCATGTTGAAGTTTTCCGTGCTCAGTCCAAACGGCTTCAGGATGCCGTTTCCTAGATCCTTTAGCTTTCCCCACATTTCCCCCATCTCTTTCTCCTGAGCGGCCTTGGTGCGTGGTGGTAGTTGTCGTAGTTGAGTCCGGACTATGCGGAGGTCGGCTGGTGCGAGACTCTCGGGTTTGGCGGCGAGGGCCTTGTAGTCCTCCTCGGCACCGGCCAAGTTTTGCCATCCACCTGCCTCGGATCGAGCGCGAGCCCGGCGCATGAGAGACTTGCTGCGGATACGTTGGATGTTGGCCTTGAGAGTCTTGACAGCATCATCTGTCGAATCAGGGGCCGGAGCAGCTCGTGTGGCGCCAGAGCTGACGATCTCCTCTTCAACATCATCATCCTGCTCCTTCTTCTTCTCTTCCTCTTCCTTTTTCCCATCTGGGTTCAGTAACAGATCCTTTTGCTCGAGCTTCTCCAGAGAACTCAAGGCATCCGACGCGGCCTTGATGGCATCTTTCCATTGCTCAAGCTTGAGATGACAGGCAGCAATGTTGCTGTATACGACAGCTCGTGGGTAGTATAGATACTTTGGACAAGAGGTGATTGCATCGTCGTACTTGTCTAGAGCGTTTTGATACTCTTTGGAAGCAAATAGGGCGTTGGCTTCTTCCTTGGCAGTGGTGGATTCTTCGACTAGGGCCTGGGGAGGTTAGATGATGATACCTGGCTGTGTAAAGAGAGAAGGCAGAGCTTGAAGAGGATGAGAGATAAGAATAGTTTAATGATGTGGCTGGCATATGACGTGATATATCCATATAAATGCTTATGCAGGGTAAATAAATCCAACATACTTGTTCCTCTTCTGGTGAGAACCTCAACTCCTCACCATCAACCTCTTCGGCCTTGTCCTTGTCCGCCTCGACATCCGGCTTCTTTATCGCGTCATCCTTTTTCTTGTCGGTTGAGCTCATCGCTGTTGTGGTCTAGGGGACTCGTGTCACTATTGACGTGATGCAGACCAGGAGTTGCGAGGTCTGACGAGCTCAGTCGGTGAGGGTAAGAGTTTTCAAGATATGTGAGCCACACAACTAGCGGTCTGAAAGAAAGGACTCCTTGAAATCTTCCTAGGAAGGAATGGAGGTCGAGATGCCGTGTGGTAGTTTATGCAGTGGAGACGTGATGTTGTCGTGTCTGGGTTCACTTTAAACAAGATCGACGGACCTGATCAACCATGAGCCTCACGGCTACAGTGGAGGTTGTTCCCGGCGACGGAACACTCTAGTCCGTATCTGGCCTAGCCGCAAACGACATCCACTGAAGAGGCCCCCGCTGCGGGGGACCTTCTAGTGAGGGGCTCGCCTACAAACGCTTATCGCCCAGCGACCAAACTCCCCGCCACGTGCCAGTGAATCACGGCGAGAAGAGTCACTCCCGCTATCGCTATCACTGCCCCGCGTCCCCAACCAACGCCCTCCAGCAGCTGAAAGATAAAAAAAAAACCTCGACCGCAATCTTTTCCTTCTCTCTTCTCTCCTCAAGCTGAGCTTCTCTCTCTTTTGGCCACGGGCTTTTGGCATTTCTGTATCTACTTTTCTTTGGCCTCGACTGCTTGATACCCATTTGCCTTTTGTTCCCTTAAGCAAGCACCCTTTTGTCCGCTTGCTTCCGCCGCAATGGCTCCTCGTACCGAGTATGTTTTGATCAGCCCCCCCTCCGATTGACCTGTGATAAGAGCAAAGAACGCTGACCATGGCTTCCAACTACAGCTTCCCGCCCGTTCGGGCCTGTCTATTCGACATGGACGGCCTCCTGCTCGACACCGAAGACATCTACACCAACTGCATCAACATGATCCTCGAAAAGTACGGCAAAGGAACCCTGCCCTGGTCCATCAAGGCCAAGCTCCAGGGTCGCCCCGGCCCCCAGGCCAACAAGATCTTCCACGACTGGGCTCAGCTCCCCATCTCCCCCGAGGAGTACCTCGCCGAGAACACGGCCCTGCAGAAGCAGCTGTTCCCTCACACCCAGCCGCTGCCTGGTATTCCCGAGATGCTGGGACACCTCGGTCGCACTCGATACTGGGACGTCAAGGACGGTGCTGCTGCCGCCGAGGCCAAGGCCAACAACCGCGATAGTGAGCCTCACCGCGTTCACATTGCCCTCGCCACTAGCTCCCACCTGGGCAACTTTCGCGTCAAGACGGATCACCTCCAGGAGCTCTTTGCCGTCTTCCCCTCGCACCGCCGTGTCCTGGGTGACGACTCTCGTCTAACTCCTGGTCGTGGCAAGCCCCTGCCTGACATCTTCCTCCTCGCCCTCAAGACCATCAACGATTCACTCCCTGCTGGTGAGCGACCCATCACTCCCGAGGAGTGTCTTGTATTCGAGGACTCGGTCCCCGGCGTCGAGGCTGGTCGTCGTGCTGGTATGCGCGTCATCTGGTGCCCTCACCCGATGCTGAAGAAGGAGTACGCTGGACGTGAGGAGGAGGTCCTTGCTGGCCGCACGGGCGAGGCCGGAGCTGTCGACCTCCACCAGGTCGGGGAGCTCAACGATGGCTGGGCCGAGTACATGACCACCCTGGCCGACTTTCCCTACGACAAGTTCGGCATCGTTGTCCCATCGGTCGAGGTCGAGAAGGAGGACTGCATGAAGGAGTCTCCCGAGGAGGCGGTCGCTGAGGCCTGAGGCAGGCGTGAAACGGACGATCGTTGGTGGTACAGCCGCCCGGCCGTTGGATTTTCGGGCCGCGCATCTCAGGCGCGCATGGGCCTAGATGCGCTCTTTTCGGATCGGATAGACTCGGAGAGAAAGAATCAAGGGGATGATGGATAGACAAAAAAGGGGAGCAAGGTTAAATAAAAGGAACTGGAAACCATAGACTGTTCAGTAGACAAAATCAGGATTGGATGCTGATACTCATGAATATAATGAATGAATGGAATGCCCAGATAACAGATAACCCCCTCAGATATCATATTGGACAGGTCTGACCCCGTACTTCTCCACGTAATAAAATGTCGTCAATCTATCTCGATATCTTAGATCCAGGGTGCGATGCGAGTGTGGGGAGATGGATGAGACCACTTCGGGGGCCAGTAATACCACTACAGTGCCCTACAGTGCCGGCTTCATGTGCTTTGACCAACGTGGCACGGTACAAGTCGTGCCATTCATCGACATGCAACGTTTGAGCCTTCCGAGATTCTCCTATAAACCATGGACGTCTCCTACATATCTCACGAGACCTGGAGCTGGCTCCTTCAAGTCGTCTCCCACACTTTGACAGACACCCAATGGCTTCTATAACGTCTTTGCCGCTACATCTCGTCGCTGACATCCTCCGTCTGCTGGACAATATCCAGCTTCTACCCCCCGTAGTGCTGAGCCACCGCATCTTCTACTCTGCTCTGCTAGACACTCCGTCCCTACCCCTAGACATACTCCGCTCCCAGATCCCGGAGAACCTTTTACCTCTGGCCGTTGCCGCGTACACGTCGCAGAAATCCGTCAGAGACCTGAACGGCCTTGACGCCGAGGCCTTCTTGACAAAGTGCTACGACTCTCCCCTCCAGAGTATCGATGGTGGTCTATTGCACTTGTCCCTCGGCCAGGCTATCCAGGTCGGACGCATCGATGATGCCCTGTCGGAGCTGCGTGAGGAGTTTACCCTGTGCTCGCTACGTAGACTCTATGGTGTAAACAGCGACGAGTCCATCTCGGATGACCAAGGTCTCTCTCCAGGAGAAGAGTACCGTATCTCCCGGGCCCTATACCGCTTCCAGATCTACCGCAACCTCTTTCTAGATAAAGAGGTGCTAGACAAGGAGCAAGACCTCTTCCCATCCGGATACGGCGACGACGATTACCAAGACGAGGAAGAAGAAGATACAAAGCCCGACAAGAAGCAAAAGAAGCTCTTTTTTGATCGGCATTCACCTTGGGTGAATGAGCAGCTGGCCTGCGTGTATGATTATCTCGAGACGAGACTGACCGGTGGTGCGTCCCTAGACTGGCTCGTTCGTATAAACGGATGACTCCCCCTTCTACTCCTTTGTGTGCGACTTGTTTTTAACGTATTTTTGTTGTAATTAGTTATGCTGACCATCCTGTCGGCGACTCCAGCCTATCGTCAAGTTGTTGTCAATGGCTTTCAATGGGGTGAGAACCTGACGGAATGGTTGACTGAGAAGACGCAGCTCTTTGAAGAGCAACGATGCGTGAGTACATCTTGACACACTTCAACAACGCTAGTTAACATGTAAAGCTATCTCTGGGTCTTCCTCGACTGAGCCAACTGCTCAAGTCTTCCACTTATGAGGAGTGGCAATGTTCCCTCGGCGAGGCAAGCACCCTCTGCCAGAGCTGTCTCGAAGAAGATCTAGAAGAATTCAACCGCGGCAAGAGACCCAACGAGAAACGTGGTGTCTGGCGTGTAGCCGACATGGACCGCCTCGCACAAGAGGTCGACGCCGACGACGACGTGACAGACGACCACCCGCGACAGATGTGGACAAAGGTATACTATGATAGAGTCCACGAGAGGTTCCGTCTAGGCGACCATGCCTTTGCACCCATGAGGTTTGTATATGGACTGAGAGGTATTGGGTATGTCATGTGGGATGGTAAGAGAATGGAGGACGAGGTGTGCAAGGGCACTGTGGACAAGGCGTATAGGGGTGATACTGTTTTCTGAGCGTTCTTTTGCTTAGGAGTTGTTGCTTTCACGGGGTTCATTCTTCCATTGTCTGGCGGATATGGGTTTTCCATGGGGAGTCTGTATAACTAGGGTCATTTCAACTGCATAAGCATGGCATCAGTGGCATAGGTTTGGGTAAATTGCATCACATAGCCACGAGTAGCAATAAGAGCGTACATTGACATTACATCTACATAGCTCTTGATCGAGGCTTATCGCTGATAGTTGATCACGTCAAGGGGGACAAGTGTAGGAAAATTATTTATTTTTATCCCCTCCGTCTTTTCCTTCTCTTGTCTTGACTATCTGGAGCGGTGGCACTATTGGCATGAGTCTTGACGTTGGTCTTGCTCCTCTCCAGACCTTTCCTGATGCATTTGTCCCATTCCCTAAAACATTCTCAGATACGTCTGTCCCATGCCAGTCAAAGTTGCGCTTCCCCCTTTCAGATGATTCCTCTAGACGAAATCGACAAGACGACCAACGCATGAACAAGACGATGTGGAGAGGAGATGTTGCAAGGACCCAGGATACCGCTTCGTACCGACTCAAGATAGAGCCTCGAGGCAAGATGTGATGGACCCCAGAGAAGCAAACACCAATGTGATGTTTGCTTCTCTGGGCTGTCTGTCGAGTCCTTCCAGTTGTTGCAGGGGCTGAGAAAGGATGATGAAAGGGTCGAGAACATCGAAACGGAACGGCTGAGTTCATATCACACCCAAGTTGTATGCTGCGAGATAGACTCCTCTCCTTCTTGTAACATTCCCCTTCCCAACAAGAGATCTTGACGAGCTGGCGGTACAGCCTCAAGGCATGCATGATGCACCCCAGAGAAGCAAAAACCAGTGTGATGTTTGCTTCTCTGGGGCCCCAAAAAGGGGGACCATGAGGGTTTCCCATTGATTGGTGTTTGTTTGAACACTGATCAATCTTCTTAGGGTACTTGGGCAAGGGAGACAAGCGCAGCTTGTTGTCCAGTAGCATCGTGTACTTGCAGTGACCAAGGTCATGCTTAACCAGCTGCCAGAGGGGTTAGCCGATGTTAACAACAAACAACAAGGGTATACTCACGTCGACGTTATTGCGCAGGGCCTAGGGATGGTGCTAAGTCCAGGTGTCGTCATGGTGGGCATCCTTCTGGAACTCCTGGCGAACGTCCTGGGCAAAAATCGCCAAGGTCTTCATCCTTCTCTTCCACCCAAGGGCTCGTCCCGCCATGTTGAATACATTGAGGCGCACCTGGAACACCAATGTGGTGTTTGCTTGCTTGAACCCCTTCCCAACATGAGATTTTGACAGACTGGAGATGTAGCCGAAAGGGAGTTGCGATACACCCCAGAGAAGCAAACACCAATGTGATGTTTGCTTCTCTGGGGCCCCAAGAAGGGGTGCCATGGAGACTCGTTCAGCCATGTCGAATGAGGCGAAGGCCCTCGGAACACCAATGTGATGTTTGCTTCTTTGGTTGTCTGTCTTGACTGATTTGCAGGGCACACATGATGCACCCCAGAGAAGCAAACACCAATGTGATGTTTGCTTCTCTGGGCCCCAAGAAGGGGTACCATGGAAACCCATCCCCCTTCCCCGCTATGGAGGAACCATTGACACTTTTCACTCCGATATCATCTCAGTTGGAACCATGCACACTTGCTCCCCTCATAACGACAGGCGAAACCAAGCCAACCCCATGAAGTAGGGGACACCTGGATGAAATCTTCCATCCTCCACCCCAAGAAGGGGCACCATGAGACTGAGGCTCATAGGGTGTCATTCTTTCCGCCACGGCCTAGTATTGGCTGGCCAACCGAGGCAACGTTTTGGTGCTCGATTCATCAACGATATCTCCAGAATAAGCCATGCAATGGTCAACCACAAGGGCATCTCCAGTGCGTCCTCCCTCGCCCTTGTCTCCTGAAGCGCGGAGCAGGTCGGGCTGCAGGTATTTGCTGCCTCGATGGTAGAGATAGCGGAAGCCCAGCCCTTCTGGATATGGACATTCAGGGGCTGCCAAGGGTTGAAGCAACCCATCCTCCGGCGGGATTCGAAAGGGTTCGACCGCCTTCTTTTCCGATAATCTTCTTACACTTTATATCCCAGGTGCCTCCCTTGACAGTAGTGATAGTGGTAATCTTGACAGCCCCGTCGCCTTCTTGGCAGCTTCTTCAGTACCAACCTCGCCTTGCGGATCATGACTCCCAGGAACAGGTGATGCTGGCAGCTTCGTCAGCATCAACCTGGTCGGTGGCGCAGACAGGGCTGGCAGCAGAGCCTCGTCCTGCTCGACAATCACATCGTGAGTGATGTCGATGCGAGGAAGGGTGGAATTCCGGGGATGTCAGAAGAGTTCATAGGGTGAGACATCCCCGGTTACGGTATTGGGTTTTGATGCCGTCATGTATTGATAACTGTGTTTTTGTTACTGTGGCCGATGGCCCCTTTCAGAGGTCATTGATGACAAGGAGAAGAAAGGGGCCACCGCCACAGTACCCGAGCTGAGGGCCGGCCCTTAAAAAGAATGTCGGAGCCAAGGGCCGGCCCCCGAGGAGAGTGTTTGAGGCGAGGGCCGGCCCTTGAGAAAGGGTTCCGGGGCCAAGGGCCGACCCTCAAAGAGTGTTGAGGCCTCCGAATCCGGGGTTGGCCCAGGGGCCTGCTAGTCGAAGAAAAATATTCAATGTTGACCACAGCCCCAGCCGCCTCTTAATCAAGGCATCCGAAGAGGCGGCTGGGAATGTGAAGCAAGGTGCTCCAAATCCTCTTCTGAAAGGGTCAAGCTGACTGATGTGATGCAACATGGAAGGACTAGCTGTGAGTCTCCAAGGGCGTCTTGTGGCACTAGCTGGGTGATGCTAGCCAGGTTGATGCAAGCACAGCGCTCAATGGAAGCGCACGATACTAGTCGTTGCCGTTGTACTGAACCATGACCAGGCAGAGTTGTCCTTGTTTGATGGGAAAGAATCCCAAAGCTGTGCCTTGTCCAAGTTGCAGAACTGGGCAAAAGTCTTCCGTGATCTTGTCTCAATGGGACTGAGCCTCCTCATGGATGGCTGTGACACTGTTGTGTGCGAAGCAAGCATGGCCGTAGACACTTGTGACAGGACGAGGTCCTGCTTAATTTGAGCCCTCCTCGTGGTTCTCAAGATATCCCCAACCTCAAGGATTCGTCATTGGACCTTGAGGCATGGGATACACATCTCCTGTGAAGATCCAGTCCAGGTCAAGCCCCATCTCAATATCAGCTGGGCCCGTTTGCCCCAGCAGCCCCTGTCGAAGCTGAGGCGGTGATACGCCATGAACTTGACCGTTATCGAGTGAAGTCCGCGTCCGCTTCCGAGGAGCAGAGTCGACCGCTGTGGTTGGTGAGGTTCGTCGTGCTCTTGCCGTCCGCCCGTGAAGCTCCCACTGCCGCTGCAACAAAACGAGAAAGTCTCTAGCCCTCTTGGCGCTCTCCCATGTAGCTCCCAGCTCATCTAGTGCTCTGAAGCAGGCACTCAGATGGAGGCCAATCTCATTTTCGCCTTGGCGTTGGTAGTTTGTCACCGAGGCAAAGATGAGCAACAGCGCCGCTGAGCATGCGATGCCAACGCCTTGGATGTTCATGCGGCGGAGTGCATAGCGTATCTCGTAGAGCTGGAGGAGTTTGGCGATGGCGTACGCTGATTCAACACACATCATGCGTGCGTGTGCCGCCCCTGGGCCCTGTGGAGGGAACGGTTGCACGTAAGTTCGTGACATCCATGGGCGGTGAGCGTGTATGATATTCTGGTGATATTGCATGCTGTACTAATTTTAGCAGTGTCCAATATGTATGAATGGTATACTAACTGCAGTAGGATGACGTGCGGGAGGTATGGCGTCTCGCGGTCATCGAGGTCGACTTGAAGTACGGTGGGCAAATCAGCCTGCCAGTTGAGCAGCTCTTCCACTGTCCGAACATTCATTTCTTGCAGAGTAGTAGCTGGGATCTTTCTGCTTCCATACCTATGTCCGGGTTAGTGATGTTGAACCAGGATACCAATGCGCCAAACTCACAGAGCATATCCGAGTGGAACCATGATGTCGCTGAGGAGGGTCCTTTGTCGATGCAGCTCATCTGTGTAGTCTGCTAGAGGGGTGAGCTCATCAAAGGACTTTTTGGAGACATATGGAATCCACTGTCCAGCTCTCTCGGGTCTGACGTCTCCGACAGGCTTGGAAACAGTGACGTCCTCCATGTTGATGCGGAACGGCCGTCCGAGATAGAATCCCCACATGCTTCGGAGTCCATTAGAGAAGGGCAGCCGGATATAGAGGAGGTACTTACTGGTCGACAGTGTACGCTGCCCAGAAAATGTCGCGACGCAGATCCGCAGATGCCTGGGTGACGGCTTTCTTCGCCACATACGGACTCAAGTCGACATGGAGAGCCATGTCAAAAGCCAGTCTCATGGCCATCCCTGCAACTAGTCAGTACTGGGACCTCTTCACCCTAGTTTCACTTACCGCTATAGAGCCAACCCCTCGCATCACGTTTGCAGCCAATGTCGTGGCTGCTGAGGACCACCATGGCCTGCACCGTCGCCAAGCAGGGACAGTCCAGTTCGATTTCAAGAAGTGCCTTGGCTCTGTCTGCAAAGAAGTCGGACAGGGACTTGGGAAATGTGACAAATGTTGGATGGTGTCGCGATTCAAAGGCAGCACCCAAGGAACATCTGCACCAGTGTCAGCCGCCTGCATCAAAGTGTCAAGAAGTAGACTCACGACTCACATTGAGTTGAGCAACGCCTCTGAATAGTATTGCGTGTCTTCCTTCCTGTCGCGCCAGTTGATCCTCGCTTCCTCAAACATGGCTCGGTTCACAACATGGAAAGCTGCATCTTGCCAAGCAAAGTAGAGGTTGACCAGATGCTCCTCGAGGTCATCAGGCACAGACTTGCCGATGCCAAGACGGTCGAGATATTCTTGCCCGTTGTTTCGAACAGTGCGATGAATAGTAAGATTGTCGGGCGCGGGCATCTCGACAAGATTGAAGTTAGATGTGGGCCCGTAGTACCGCACCTGTCCCCCGGGTCCTATCTGCAGGGACCCGATGCGATCAGAAAGTTGGTCGACGAGTACCTCGGTGCTTTCTGTGTCACTGATTGCCTCGTCGGATCCCGGGCCACTAGGCAGTTTGATCGAGTGGTGCTCACCTGACCCGGGAGTCGGGAACGGAAGCATGCCACCGATGGTGTCCGAGTCTAGGGCAAACGGGGGCTGAAAGTTGAAGTTTGGGTCTTCAGGATTGCTCCAAGTCCAAGAAGGCGGGTTAACTGCCAGAGAGCTGGAGGCATGGTCATCTGGGGTCGGGCGTCCGATGACGTCCAGGCCATCCAAATCCCCTATGGCGTGTGGAGGTGCCATCAAATCAGGCTGAGTGACGACGGCAACCTGTGCACTCTCGTCCACCCTATCCCAGACCGGCAAAGGTGCCGGGGGCGGGGGGAGTGACTCCATCGCGACATTCGCGTTTGGTTGGTTTTGGCCTGGTGATTGGTGAGGAGAGGCGGTGCCATTTGATGGTGCCCTCGCAGCATCTTTGCTGGCAAATGTGTGCGTCAGTTTTAGATGACCAAGTACCTTGATGAGAGCCTCTTGTTCCTCCTTGGGCATGGGTGGAGGTTCAAGCGAATTCTCGCCGATAAAATTGCACAGCTGCTCGATGCGTCCAGAGAGAAGCTCGATGGCAACGCGAAGAGAAAGTCTGCGCATAGGATAGTGAGCATGAGTGAATGCGACAGCGGGATCATGACTGACTTGCGCTTGTCATCACCTGCTTGGTATCGGCAATCCTTGTTTTTGTTTTTGCAGTTGGAGCAGATGGGGGAGGCTCCATCGCACTGGGAGTGTCAGTTGACTCGGCCACGAGACATCGTTGTCGGAACGCTTCTGATATCCAGCGAGGGGCTCACCTTGACCTTGCTCTCGCGACATGGCACACAAGCTGTGGTGACGTGCTTGCGTCGAGGCGGGCCCTGCGCTGAGGACGGCATGATTCTTCTAGGATAAAGCAGCGCGATGCTTGATGCGCTCAAGATGAAAACGACACCAGGATTAAGATCGAGACGAGGACAAGGACATCTCGAGTGGGTTGAATAGAGGTTCAAGATTGGAGCGCCCAACTCCACCCAAGGTCAAGGCCAAGCAAGGTTGATTGAGGAGAGGAGAGGAGGAGCAAGGGTCGGCGCTAGTGGGGAGCCCTGGTGTGCGGGGGAATCGAGCTTTAGTCAGGCGGGCAGGTTGGCCAGCCAAACAGGTTCGCACAATTCAACACCACGACAGGCTGCCCATCAACTTGAACAAATTATTCTCCGAATCTCCTTGAGGCTGTTTCTTCTGCTGCAGGTCAAGGTTTTGAATACATACCATAAAAGAGAAATTCAGAATCATTCGTGGTAAGAGTAGGGAGGAAGAAGTGCCACTCGCTACAGCACCCCTGCCATCACAGTGGCCACAGCTGGCTAGCAGGGGTGCCGAGCACTGGCAGCAGTCACTTGAACCTCGTTGTGAGCAGGTCACCGCCAACCTCAGAAGGGTGTGCGTCATTGTCTTGAGATAAAGTGAGCCAAATTGAAGAACCTAGGTCGACTTGGAACTTCCTTGCGTTTTGTCGAGATATGAACCAACCTAGTTGGCGACGTCCAACTCGACCTCCAGGCTAGCACCTCATGTACAGATGCTGGGTGATGCTCCGTCTACCCTACATTAGAACTCAGGATTCTGGAGGCATCCATGTTGTACGGAATTAATGCCTTGATCATTGTGGCTTGAAACCAATCATACGGGGCTAGGGTGTTGCAAATAAGCAATATATTTCAGTAAATATGTAAGGAAGAATGCTCTATATAGCCACGATCTGTATGGAGGCTCACAGGCGGAAGCGAAGCCATAACTTGAGCAGGGATTTTACAGCAAGACTTGAGTTCAACTTTCCGGGAGGATAGCTAGCAACGCCTGTCCGAGATATCTGTTGGCAGAAGGAAGGAGAGGTCATTTCAAGGCCCTGATAGCGAAGCCAGGGAAACCCTTGGTCATCATAACCAGGACTAGCTTTCAAGTTGAACGTAAGTCTCAACGATTCATCGTAATTTACCCTGTGCGAAAAGCCCCCATATATATCAAAGAACTGTCGAGGGTGAGAAGTTGCGTAAGCTGATGTCTACACATTATTGGTGGTATTTAAGAGGATTCGATGGTTTAGACCTGCGATCCTTGTATTGGTCCAACTTTAGATCGAAGTCAACAGGTCGTCAAAGTTGTGAGAAGTAAGCCATCCTTGGGTGCGAGCTAAAACTGTCTGGGACGGAGGATTGCTGACCGCATCTACCACAAATACCCGGAAGTTGGACTTTAACAGGCAGCCCCATCTTCTAGTTGAGTGCATGGGTAGTGGATGGCTCAAAGGTCAAGCCAAGCCAAGTGGAAGGGCGCTTTAGACCTCCTGATACGACTCGAGTACTCGTACGAAATCGCCATGGCGGGCTGGGCGCGCGTTGCTCGTTGAGGAGTACACTTGTCCCAATCGTGGCTAGTAGTGGACAGTGAAGTTGAAAGATTCCTGAGGTTTTCGGTCCGGCCGAGACAGCAGACGCAATAGTTTTACCTTTCTCTCGATGTCGTTGAGACAATAGCTTGGCTTTTACCGAGCAATCTGAAGTCAAGTCTAACCTCCTTCCAGGGTTTACCCTGAGAATGAGAGCGACAAGTTTCTGTCCAGGCTGTCTTGAAACCGAACCATTTCTAGCATCGAGCTTGCTTCTGAAAGTCAAGGAGCGGGTCAAGAATACCACTTAGAGGATAACTGATGTGGCCGTTCGGACTAAGTTTCGCGGTTCCTGACACCTGCGCACATAGCTGATCTAAGGTGAATGGAAAGGACGTCGACGTGTGTTGGCACAATGCGTAAATCTCTTGGAATGGCGTTTGCATGTCGTTCGTGGCCTTTGTGCGCTGTTTCGCTTAATCTGAGAAATATCTCGCTCTGCCAAGGCGATACTCATCTTATCACCATCGTAACGAAGCCGTAGAGGGGATTTCCTAGAAGGGACTCGTATCGAGCTCAAGGGTACGTGTGCTTGTGCGCTAGCTGGATAAATGCTGGTGTTGTTAACGATGTGAATGTTTTGTGATGCAAGGTGCTCTTTCTGTCAGTCTGCGATGGCCTTGAATTCCGACTGTTCCTGAAAATCAAGGCACCAAGCAAACGGCGGCTCCGACGACGGCATGTTGATGTCCCATGATGGACAGTGGATTCGGTTCTCCCTGAAACGAGAGAAGAAGAAAGAAGTAAAAGAATCTGGCCATGCTTTGTCAGATCGAGATGGGCATCTTGGCCTCCCCATTCAATTCCACCTTTTCAACGGGAGCCAGCGAGCGTGGCATGAGCCGGCCGGGATCCATCGGAGCTTGGAGAAAAAAAGACCATCATGGTGGCGGGATGGATGGAGCAGGTGGGTTTAGCTTGGAGCTACGTGACTACCTGATTGAGACAGCTGCCGAAGGAGACGGGGAATGAATTCTGGCCTGGAATACATGTATTGTGCTTCAAAGAATGATTCAGTTTAGGTGTAGAGGCATGTAATATCAAGAATGGTTGTCCGTCGAGGGTATCATCAACCCTCCATGTTCTGTGCAGTATCGCAAAGCCAGCCAGCTTGTACCACATGTTCATGAGACCCGACGTCAACACGGCCCGGTCTAGATCCGGACCAGCATCTCCAAAGCATCACTTAAAGGACCTGCCACCCGCTCGCCCTGGATTGGAGCGCAAGGAAGTCGCTAGAAGAGCACCTATTCTTCATGACAAAGCCCAGGTGGGGGTAGAAAAGCGTCCATCATGGGAAACACGGTTAGAGAGACACGGGCAGTATAGTGATCTGAGGGTTTCGAAGAGAAAAAATACTCCACATTTCCCCAGACGCCGCCAGGCCAATGCCTCGCTCGCTTCCATCCCAGAAACAGCAATTGAACCACATGAACCCCTCGATTCCCGACAGATGCCGGCTGTTGCGTCGCCACTAAAAGCCGGCGGCGGCGTTGGAGACCTTCCAAACTGCCTCCGGAGCCGAGCGAGGATCCGGCCCGGTTCCGGTTCCGGTCTGCGGGATTCCAGTCCCGCGGGACCTGACTGACCATGATTCTTTCTCTTTCGAGGCTGTCTGGCTGTCTCAGAGGCCACCCTCACGCAGTAGGGTCGCACTGCTTTTCCGTCAGCGGTGCCAGCCCCGACCTCGGGCGGCTCAAGGTACACCCCAAAGGTGAGCCGTATGGGGCTATTGATCATCTCCATGGGCGACGGCCTCAATTGACTGGTGGTGCTCCATTGACCCCATTGACCTTGACGGCGTAGACGCGCCTTCCTCCGGCGGGGTCAAAATTCTCGCGCGGCCATGTGACGTCTGTCCGTTGGGGTGGAATACCTGTCGACGCGGGAGCTGTAGGAGCTTTAGTAGACCCGACCTCTCCAGCTTTTCCTCTTCATTCTTCCTCCACAGCTTCTCTTTCTCTCTCTGTCATCTTCTTGTATTTGGCGATTTTTTATTTGCTTCTCCAACACATACACAATGGCTGCTGAAACCTACCACAAGGAGGCCATCGCTGGTGTGAGTTGCCCCTCACTCATGAAGCTTTTGATTGCTGCCCCCCACCAAGATCTTGATCGCTGACCTGCAATCGTCAACAACAGCTCAAGGACTCTAGCCTGTTCATTCAGGATGCCTTCATTGACGGCGAATGGGTCTCCAAGGAGAACAAGTTTGACGTCTTTGAGCCCTCTACTGCCACCGTCCTCGGCAAGGTCGCCAACTGCGCTCTCGAGGACTTCCAGAAGGCCATCAAGAGCGCCGATGCCGCCCAAACCAAGTTCTTCGAGACCACAACTGGCACCAGCCGAGGTGCCCTTCTGAGGAAGTGGTACGAGCTGGTTCTCGCCAACCAGGAGGATCGTAAGTGATACTACCTTTCCAACAATGGCCCCCAGACTAACAATACCCAAGTCGCCAAGATCCTTTCCCTCGAGAACGGCAAGACCCTCCCCGAGGCCCAGGGCGAGGTCATCTACGCCGCCAACTTCATCTCTTGGTTCGCTGAGGAGGCTACCCGCTCCTACGGTGTCACCATCCCCTCGTCCTCCCCTCACACCACCCTCATGACCATCCGCGAGCCCGTCGGTGTCTGCGGTATCATCACCCCCTGGAACTTCCCCGCCGCCATGATCACCCGCAAGATCGCTCCCGCTCTGGCCGCCGGCTGCTCCGTCGTCATTAAGCCCCCCTCCGAGACCCCCTACTCGGCCCTCGCCTTCACCAAGCTCGCCATCCAGGCCGGTCTTCCTCCCGCCACCATCCAGGTCCTCCCCACCCGCGACCGCCAGGCCGCTACCGAGCTGTGCACCAACCCTCTTGTCAAGAAGATCTCCTTCACTGGTTCCACCGGTGTTGGTAAGATGCTTGCCAAGCTTGCTACTGGCACCCTGAAGAAGGTCAGCCTGGAGCTCGGCGGTAACGCCCCCTTCATCGTCTTTGAGGATGCCGACCTTGACCTCGCTGCCGAGGGCGCCATGTTCTGCAAGTTCCGATGCTCTGGTCAGACCTGTGTCTGGTAAGTTTCTCCTTTCTGCTCGATTCCATGTCAACTAACCTTCTCCCCAGCGCCAACCGACTCTACGTCCAGAAGAGCGTCGCCAAGGAGTTCACCGCCAAGCTCGTCGCCAAGGTCAACGCCCTCAAGATGGGCGGTGGTCTCGACAAGGCCACCACCCAGGGTCCTCTCGTCAACAAGTCCGCCGTCGAGAAGGTCAAGGAGCACGTCGCCGACGCCACCTCCAAGGGCGCCAAGGTCGAGACTGGCGGTAGCACCCCCGACTCCCCCGGTTTCTTCCACCAGCCCACCGTCCTGTCCGGTGTTACCCAGGAGATGGCTGTCGCCAAGGACGAGACCTTCGGCCCTCTTGCTCCCATCTTCGAGTTCGACACCGAGGAGGACGCCATCCGCCTGGCCAACGACACCGAGTTCGGTCTTGCTGGTTACTTCTTTTCCAAGGACGTCAGCCGCGTCATGCGCGTTGCCCAGAAGATCCAGGTCGGAATGGTCGGTGTCAACACCGGCAAGATCAGCGCCGCCGAGGCTCCCTTCGGTGGTATCAAGGAGAGTGGTTACGGAAAGGAGGGCAGTCTTTATGGTCTGCAGGAGTACCAGAACATCAAGAGCATCACCATTGGTAACCTGAACGGTTAAAAGGGACAGAGAAAAATGGGGTAGCGAGGATTGCTTATTCAACTATGATAATGACGAGGCACAAAAGCCCACCAGAATAACGAATGGGATCAGAAGACACTGATCACCGAATACAAATAAGTAAAATGACTTGATGAGTTTCTGCCTGTTTGTGATGTGGATGAATGTGTAATTCCTACTGTGAATACAGCCTCAAGTTAACTATTGAGCGCATGGCAGGAATATGGGGATCACAGTTGGAGTGGCCAATGGGAGATAAAGCTGTCAAGACCTATTATTCAGGGGAATATAGTATAAGACTTTACGTTATATGGGCAAGTAGAGTTGGCAACTGTGTGGACGTTGCCCATGAGTCTGAGCGGAGGGCTTCTCCTCCCAGTCCCATCTCCTTAGAGCTACCGACAATCACACAAGACTTGGAGCCAATTGCAGACCACATTTGGATCTTAGTAAATACCAGTAAGACATCTGGCTACTGTATTGCTTTAACTGACACTATACGGGGACTGATGTATGTTTTAGACAAAGTGTCACATAAAGCCCACCATAACTAGCCTATCAGCGACTTCAAGTACACAACTAATTGAAATGCTAAAGAACGCTAAGGAATTGCCAAATAGTTACCAAAGTTGAACATAATGCTGTGTCAAAGAATCCTAGTTACTCGGCAGCCTTGCATGCCCAGCCAGCCACAGGACAGGCACAGTTCAGCTCTCTGCAGCGGAGACTACCCTTAGTCAGCTGTCGAATCCTCGTTGGGAGAGATGAAGCCTTATTTGAACTTGAATGGCTAACTTCTGCAAGGTTCAGAACCTGGGCGGCGATCATGCTTTGCCAAGTTTGTGCCTCGATTGATCTGGATGAAGCGAACGCGACCATCAGCTGGGAAGAATTCCTACGACGACCTCGCAACAAACGCTCGGCTTTTGGATATCGCCACCATGCTTCCTGGAGTGCCCTTGAGAAGGCGGCCGACCAAGGCTACGAGATGTGCCAGGCTATCAGGTCGGTAGCCATAGATGGGGTACGGCGAGAGGCTGAATCACATCTATGGCTTACAACTGAAAAGACTCGTCACAGTATCGGATTGAAGCTGTCTAATGAAAGTGTCGCGGCTTTCCTCTCGCGACTGGGTGTTTTTACTACTCAAGGTTCGTCTCACTTATCCGCACTGATAGTTTTGATGTCGGCTAATCGCCTTTGAGGAGGGTAGAACATTCCACGTTCACCGGGAGAGCTGTTTGCCCGGAGGCTGGATTGCCTGAAGTCTTTGACATGGCAAGATCGTGGCTGGAGACATGTCTCCTCCACCATTCAGGCTGCGGACGCCCAGGAACAGCAAGTCTCCCAACGAGAGTTATTGACGTAGGTCCAAGCGATGGCTCCAAAGAGGTCCGTCTGCATTTGTCCAACGGAGAAATTGGCGAGTGGGTTTCTCTAAGCCATCGATGGGGAAGTCAGAAAATCCTCACCACCGTCCGATCGAACATGCAAGCTCACTGCCAACAACTGCCTTGGTCCTCGTTATCAAAAACATTCCAAGATGCTATCAAAGTAACGCGAGAACTGGGCTTCTGTTATCTCTGGATCGACTCACTCTGTATTCTGCAAGACTCGTCTGATGACTGGGTCAAGGAATCGGCAAAGATGGGGAGTTACTATAAGGATGCGATACTTTCCATCGCAGCAAGTCATCCCAACAGTGCAGAGAAGGGCATTCTAGCCAAACGAGAGTCGGTAATGTTCAATGACTCACCAGACTTCGCGGTCATGGTTCCCTGCAGTTCATCTGAGGGAACGTCCAACATCTACATCAGGAAAAACCTTTTGTCTTTTGAGGATATGCTGGATTCCAAGGACTTTAATCCTCTTGAGCTCCGGGGATGGGTATTACGAGAGACGATGCTTGCACCTCTGACTCTGTACTTTACACAGGAGCAACTTATCTGGCACTGCCGGACTTGTGGTCGGGTTGAAGCTGACCGGAATCCGACTCTTTCGGCATCTCTTCCCTTGAACTGGACCAACCCAAAGGCTGTCGTTGCATTGACGGAGGCAGCTACGCCAGCTGCAGTGATCAGTGAGGACACTGATCAACCTCCGGATGCACATGGAGCATGGCTTCGTATTGTCATCGACTTCTGCGGTCGCAAGCTCACATATGCCGATGATCTGTTCCCAGCCATTTCAGGTTTGGCTAGAGAGGTTCATAGGATGACCGGAGATACTTACTGCGCTGGTTTATGGAGAGGCGACATTGCTCGAGGGTTGATGTGGTATCGACAAGCCCCAGTCAAAGAGACCCCCAAGTATTTGGCCCCATCCTGGAGCTGGGCGTCTAAGATTTCAGCAGTCGATGGCGGGATGGACCCGTACTTCATGATCCAGAATACCCGCGTGGTTGAAGGGACGAGTGCCGAGGTGATTGACGTTCAATTAGAGTACGCTACTACGGACCCATTTGGAAAGCTGAAAGGAGGGAGAATCCGAGTCAAAGGCTGGACATGGAATGCTTATTTGTTTGATGGCAACTCAGACATTCAAGGCAAGGCTGGTGAAGCCTCTCTGGACCCAGCTCAAAGTGAGGATAAGACGACTAAAAGCGACCAAGTCCACGTCAACAAACTCGATGTTCGCGATGACACCAGAGGAATGACATACAGCCTCGACACAGAAGAAAGTTTAGAGGAATTCCTCAAAGTGGACTGGACGCATTCACCTTTCCTTGCACTTGGGGTAGGTGTACTTAAAGATGCATCGGATGTTGCTAGACGGTATGATACCGATATGATGTCTGGACTTTTACTGAAGAAATCAGCTCAGGTGGCTGGAGCATATGTACGTGTTGGCATCTTTGATGGGGATGTAGAGGATTGCCGGCAAGATCCGTGGAAGATGGATGTTGTAGATATCGTATAGGAGCAGCACATACCGGTTGATGCCATGGTGGAAGACGGACATGAGGACGACCATCTCAAAGGCTGGAAACTCTCGTTGAGGAAGCCTAACCCTTGTCAACCCACTTCAGCTCCTCTCACATCCCTCGTCCATAATCAAAAGGTTCCCATCAAAGTCGGCGTCTTTTCCGATGAAGTAACATAACCGAGGCATTGGGAAGTAGGAAAGCTCGCCTGTGGCGGATTCCGTCGCCTAACTGGACCAAGCAAACCCACCCGGCCTGGGAACACAGGCAGATACCAGCGTCTATAAACTGTCAATCCTCTCAGTTTCTGGCAGAGCCGTGTCAATCTGGAAAGAAGAAATGGGTATGGCAATCGCGAGAGAGAAAGAGAGAGAGGCCAAACTCGATGGTGTAAGTGCCACTGGTGACTTGGACTGTGCTAAAAGTACAACGCCAATCGATGGTCGATTCTCATCGTGGCCAGACCGCAAAAGGCCAACAGAGATCTATAGCCAATAGAGCTCTCTATACAGGGAAGTGATACCACATTGTGAAGAGCCTTGGTCTGCATCAGTATACCTTTGGCCTTGCTCTGTACGTCAGTGTGGAGACAGATCAAGTGAAGCTATAAGAACAACACCATCCTCCCCCAGACTCATCACCAAACCCATCAACCCATCCCCCCTCATCTCGGCGAAAACACCGTACCAAATTTACCAATTAAACAATTTCCTTGTCCATTTACCCCTCAAAAGCAAAGATTTAATCATCATGGCCACTCGTCTCGCTCGGGCAGAATTCCGTCGCTGCCCCGCCGCAGCCAGCATTATAAGAGCCTCGGAATTCCCATCCCGAAGCCAACTCAAACTCTGCACCTTTCATACCACAACCAAACTTTTCAAAATGGCCTCGAACGGAACTACTCACAAGAACGGTGTTGATGGTATCTTGTCCGAGCAGGGGCAGGCGAGGCTGTTTAAGCTGTCGCCGCCGCCTTCGCTGGATGCCTTCAAGGCTATCTGTGAGCAGAGGGCTACTAAGGAGGAGTATCCTCTTGCTGCGGATATCAAGGAGAATATTCCTATCTATAACCTTGCGGAGTACTCTACTCTGACTGAGGAGCAGAAACTTGCTCTTCAGGATGAGTGGTACCGTGTTCTCCTACACGGTCCTGGCGTCCTTGTCACCGCGGGGCTATACAAAGACCACGGCGTCATCGACAAGGCTACGGCGACATACGCAAGAATCATTCAGAAGGAGAGCAAGGGCACCAAGGTATCCGGCGACCACTTTGCCGGTGCTGGTAAAAACGACCGTATCTGGAACTCGTTCAGCAAGCACGGTCTCGAGGATCCGGCTTCGTTCCTGAGCTACTACTCCAACCCGTACCTCGATCTCATCTTTGGTTCTTGGCTCGGTCCTGCATACCGTGTCACTGCGCAGGTCAACAATGTCAGACCTGGTGGACAGCCGCAGGTCTCTCATCGGGATTACCATCTTGGGTTCATGTCCACTGAGCGATGCGGCGGGTATCCTCGAGCCATGCAGGTTGCTAGCCAGTGCCTGACCCTCCAGGGCGCCGTTGCCCACGTCGATGTCCCCCTCGAAAGCGGCCCAACCCGTCTTCTGCCTTTCAGCCAGGCCTTCTCCGCCGGGTATATGGCCTACCGTCTCCCAGAGTTTAACGAATTCTTCCTGGAAAAGTACGTCGCCCTCCCACTGCAAAAGGGCGACGGTCTCTTCTTCAACCCAGCCCTCTTCCACGCCGCAGGCGAGAACAAATCCTCCGACATCAACCGTCTGGTCAACCTGCTCCAGATCAGCAGCGCATTTGGCAAGCCAATGGAGACGATCGATGCTCTGCCGCTGGTGGAGCGCACTTGGGACGACCTGACGGCCTTGTACAAGGCAAAGGGTCTAAGCGACGAGGTCAAGATGTTTGTGTCGGCTGTTGGTGAAGGATATCCATTCCCGACGAACCTGGACAACAACCCTCCCAAGAACGAGAGCATGGCCCCTGATTCGGAGCAGGACATTATCCTGGGGGCTCTTGTCAAGGGGAAGAGCAAGGCCCAAGTCTTGACTGATCTTGAGGCTTTCAGAACAAAGATCAAGGCATGAGCAGATGTTTTCGAAGCCAGGTTGAGTTTCACTCGCTGAGGGAACGAGATAGTTTGTAGGATTCTGGAAGAAATATTAGTAGCATTTACATAGCGAGATTAACAGGAATAGTCACTCCTTACAAAGACAAAAAGCACCCTTTCCAAAACTCAAGTTCGCGTGCCCTCCTTCTCTGAGCCCACGATGCTCCGTGCCGTCTTCTTCAAGTATCCCCGGAAACTCTCGAATGCGACAGCATCGTGACCTTCGAGCCATCGACAGCTCACCGAGATGTGATCCTGAGCAACGCGGATAGACACCTTGAATGCGAGGACGCACTTTGCTCCTTCGGCCTTGGATCCGTCGGCTGTCTCGGTCTGCATCTCCCGCTGCTTCCGTCTCCTCCATGCCCGAGCCCACACTCTGTCGGCCGCTCGTCCCGTGCCCTCGAGGCGCTCCTTGTCCCAGCTCCATGATGTCAGATCGAGCTTGGCAATCTCATCCTTGAAGCGATCTGCGAAATCGCCCACCTTGTCGGGCAAAGGCACATCGACAACTTTTTCTTCTGTAATCTCTGGGAGGATGTTCTTCGGGACGGCCGTCTTGATGCCACGAGCAACTTCCTGCGTCGGCCGCATGCTCCCAAAGCTCCAGGCGATCGCCCACCGACGTGTCTTGCTGCCCTGGACAAACTCAGTCACGGCGTAGTTGTCGATTCCATGCTCGCGGAGTTTGGCGATAAAGTCGGATAAGCTCGTCAGGAAGCCAAACATGGCCGTATACCAACGCACACGCTCTCGTAGTTTGAGCGACTCGTTGAGAATATGGTCGACAAAGGCAACCTCGCCACCTTCGGTAACCATCTCGACCTTGGCACCCGTGCATGCCGTGAAAGGAGGTCGAGACTTTTGCTCGGCACTCTTGATCATTTCTTGCTCTGATTTGTAAAAGGGCGGGTTGGTCATTGTAAAGTCGATTTTATCCACGTTGAGGTCGTCAAGAGGGATGATGGCGTCTGTTGGCTTTCGTTCCACGACCTTGATTCGGTGCTCTAGTTTGTTAAGAGCTACATTTTTACGAGCGTACTCAAGACTCTTTGTATCGATTTCTGCACGTTGTCAGTTAAGTGCTTATGAATTGAGATGGCATACTTACCAGTGGCGATGAACTCCCATGGCCGTTGGGCACACCCCAAAAGAGGGTAGATACAACTCGCCCCAGTACCAATATCCAAACCAACGAGTTTATCACCTGGTTTCTCATACGAAGTGCTATCCAGGAGACCCTTCAGCCATAACACGTAATTGTGTCGATTCGTGACCTGGAGAATCGCGTCAGTAGACTCAACGACGCGTCATGGAAAAGAAGCCAACTCACAGGAGGACAAAGTCGGTCATCAGGAAGTTCAGTCTCAAGTTTGAAGTCGAGTTTGAGAAGAGTCTTGGTCAGCTGCATGACACATTGCGGGTTGTCGAAGAAATCCGTCTTGTGCTTGTTCCATCTATAAAGCTTCGTTAGATGGCTTGTTCACTGGAAGAATTGAACAACGAGGGCGTACAGTAGAGCAAAGTCTTTGTCCTGGAGTGCCAGCTGTTTAAAGTCGGGTGTTTTCGTGTACAATTCAGCAAAGTGGCGATCTCGAGAAACACTGTCTTCTGGAGGCCCTTCCAGTGGCTTTTGCAGGGTCGCTTCCCGAGATGTGACACTGTCGTAGCCCTTGGCCATTGGCTGGCCAGGGGCCTCTTCTGTTGCCTTGCGCTTCTCACCCATTAAATGAGTTTTCCAATGACGTATGAGTTCGAATATCCAAAATCTACAACGCGTGCGATGAAAATCGTTGATGGTGGTGAGTCGCGACGCGCCGATGTCTTGGCTCTAATGAAGGTGTTTAGTGAAGATTCCTAGCGAGGTCCTCCAGCGCACGACCCACGACCTCACAAATAAAGTTCCATGTCACCACCAGACAAGACAGCGACAACGAGAGTAAACCTTCAATCAGTATTTGTCCAAAGTAAATTGAGTGGCACGAAATATCTAAGAAACAAGATACCCAAGAAAATAATACAAGAAATGCAATCGCCGAGGCTTCGTTAAAATCATGTCCTCATACTACGATATCATTCATGTCCCATCCCATCCTGTAGTGCTTACCACAAGAGAACCCTCCATCGCCAGCCATCAAGAACCTTCATATCCTTCTCGTCAACGTCCGGGTCGCCCTGCTCGATGCGCGCGCAGAGCTTCTTGATGCGCTTCTGCACCGTCCGGGCCACCCGGAGCGACACCTCGTTGGAAAAGACAAACAGCACCGCGAAGACGATAAAGGCAAACTTGGCCCATCTACCATGACCGAGGAGGGCGTTCTTGATGTACTCGAGAAGGCCCTTGGACTTGCGGAAGGCGTACTCGGTGTCATTGGCCGACATTGCTGATTCCTCGTCGTCGTGGCTTCGGCGCCAGAATTTGCGAATAAAGGGAATAAACGTGGCACTGTGGCATGTTAGTCTGCAGCTCATCGGCGGCTAACAAAAAGAAGGCAACTCACATAGCACCACCAATAATCCACCTCCTCCAGCGATGGTTCTCGGCCTCTTTGCCAATACCGCGCACCTCGCTCTGGAGAATCCGTAGGTCGCTGAGCATCACGTTGGTGTGGTTGCGGATGCGCGTGTCCAACTCATACGCCGACATGGCCGAGTCACCGCTCCGTCTCTGCCGCTGAAGGCTGACGTACTCGCGCAGACCAAACTGGCACGTCGTCTTGAGGGCTTGAAGCTCTCGAAGCGAGGTGGGGGCCATGGCTGGCACCATCTGCTGTTGAGAGCTATACTGCTGCTGGGTGCTATACTGTTGAGTGCTGGTGATCTTGGTGCTGCTGGCCATTGCTCCGCCGTGGTCGGGAAGATACGAGTCGGACACTGGGCGCGTGGGAAACATGGCGGGACCTGTCTGAGGGCCAGAGACGGGAGGGTAGTTCTGGGGGTTGTACGACTGGTTGTAGTTCTGAGGTCCATATTTGTCTGGTGGCGGGCCGTAGTTTTGAGGGTTGTAGCTCTGGTTGGAGTAATCCTGAGGATTGTACGGCTGAGGACCATACTGCTGAGACTGGGAGTCAGGCCCGGGATACGACTTTGCTCTCTCTGGGGCTCGTCCATCGGAAGGAGAAGGGCTTCGCATGGGCTGAGGGTCCAGAGCCCGAAGCGGTGACTTGGATTTGCGAGATTCCGACATGGCGTCAGGTCAATGAGACTCTAGTGAGAGGACGAGCGTAAGAAAGATTATGACAAAAGGCAAGGCAAATCACAGAGAGCGATTTCAAGTACGGAGAGAAAAAAGGTCGAAGCTCAACCTTTCACTTTTGCTAGCTGAGCTGAGCTGTCTGTGTGGAGAGAGCTGGAGGCTGGGTGAAACGAGGCCGACCCATGACGTCCCGGTGACAGCTGAGGGGGTGGGCGGCAAAGGGCAAAAAAAGAATTCATGAGGCTGGGGAATGGAATATGCAATAGCGTGGCATGATCCCAGCTACCGAGGGCCACAATTATGTCCCAAAGCGACAGATCAGATGATGGAGAATTGATTTCTTGCCCTCAGTATCCCAGGGCTCGATACATGCGGTGCGCCATCCCGTCGATGCCTTCAGCCGGTAGAGCTCGTCTCATGTCGCGTAGCAGTTGCTCCTGAACCTCGGGGTCGAATCTGTCCCAGATCCTATTGAGCTGACTGGTCAGGTCCCGTCGCTCCGTGCGAAAAACACCAGCGAATGCCTCAAAGAGAATTGTCGTCTCGTCCCAGCCAATGAGGTTGTGAATGTCCTGGATGAGAAGCTCAAAAAAGTTGAGTATGTGCCCTAGCAGGCTTTCTGAGCATCCTAGCCCATTGTCGTTGTTTAGGACAACGCACAAGGCGTGTACCATGGCCGCCCATCGCTTCACCACACTGGTCCGGACTGAGCCATGCTCGATCTGCTGCTCGGCGGTTCCAAACATGTCCAATGTCCCCGTTCGCGAGTGTTCTTCGAGGTGGCTGAAGAGAAAATGCAGTGCCCGATGGATTATAGACGGTGGGTGGGGTTCCATATCCTCTGGAAGGAAGAAGCTCCGGAGATCAAGAGCACCTCGTCTCACGGCGAACCTGGTTCTCGGTAACAGTGTGAACAAGGTGTCACGGTCCAGGTGGAATCTTCGCCCTTCTGCTCCAAACTGGCCATTCTGTGGTGGTATCTCGTAGAGGACGACGACTAGCATGGTGCGTCTCGGAGCTGAAGCTGGAGCTGGAGCTGGAGTTGGCACGGGGTTCGCTGCAATGACAAAAGGTGCCATTTGAGCAATTGGTGGTGGGTATCCATACATATCTCCCCCATCCAAATTGAGGCCATCGATATCAAGTTCAGCAATACCATCCATGACAAAAGGGACACCCGGTGCCGCATCGTCGGTTGCCAGAGCCTGGGGTCTACGACCCTGGCGGCCGGGGTTGGTGTGCTCGGCCTGACGACCACGACGCGGCATGGTGATGTTGGTATATTGAAAAATCCGGGCTGATGACAGAAGAGTCCAATGCCCTGGCTCATCTTTATATAGCTGTTCTGCGAAGTGCTGGGAGATCATGACAGGGTCAGTTTGTCCATAGTGGGAGTTTGATGTAGCAGATGGGCTGTTAGTGCGAGCAAGCAAGCCCAATGATAGCAACAACTCCATAGTAAACACCCAATGAGTCAGATGTTATGGATGAATAAATTGCTCAGTATTTTCCTGTTAATTAACGGTGCCTCTTTTCGAGCATGGCAACGCGCTCAGACTATGTTCCTTGAGATCGTTGTTAGCATCCATCGTGTGTATGTTTCTTGGTGTTTCGATAGCACTAACCGCCGCTTAAACAACTTTGGCCACGAAAGCACACATCCAATCTTAAAACGGCACCACACAAGTAGAGGAGTTTCCAAACCAGGACTTCAGTGCACGATAATTTCGCTCCATGATGTCGTGGTCCGCAAACTTGAAGGAAACCAGCAGGAAACTGGTAGAGAGACGGCAACATGCATGAGTGAACGCCTGAGAACTCAGGCCAAAGTTTAAGGTGTCGAGAAGCTTTGTACTGCTTGGTCCTGGATGACTCAGCTTGAAAGTCCTCGAGTCTGCCTGGAGAGAGTGGGGCCCCACTCGTATCCTCCGTCCAGTCTCCCAGTCCCAGTCCCAGTTCCTCTCCCTCTCGCTCTCTCAGTCAGCTCTCTCTCATCCTTCATCTCAAGTGGCCTGCTCCCCCATGGCGAACCACTCGTTCCATATCTACCTTGACCTACCTCGAGCTTCGCTTACCCCAGACATTCTATCCATATCTTATTGCCAAATTCAACTTGCTATTCAACATGACTACCTACAGCCGTTGCACGTCTTCTGAATCTTGTGTCCGTTGGGTGAGATTTGTTGGAATAGGCTGACAGTTTCAAATCATTATCCAATGCCAGAGTCTCTAATGTTAGAGGCACTCCTGTTGCCTTATCCTGGTACAAGTGACATTTCTCTTCCTCTCAAGTCCCTACCACTGTGATCCCTCCCATGAGTATAAGTATCTGGTCTTCCCCCTCCTCCTCGGTCTCTTTTCTCTTGTCCCTCAGCCCTCCTCATCATCTTCCCAATTCCCTCTCGTCTTCCTCTCGTCGCCTCTTCCATTGTGCTCTTGTCCTACTATTCTGTTCTATCCATCCTTTGTTCCTCCTCGCCGCTTACACGGCCGCGAGACTACCGTCGCCGGTCTAAGATACCACCCCACCCCACCTTGAACTCGTCCCAATTGCTGCCCTCCAACCACCCATCATGGAAGTCACACACAAGGTCCAGTACAAGGTCCGCGAGCTCGGTACTCGCTCCGTGACCCTCTTCCCTACCCAAGCCCAGATCAAGCGAGAGATCAAAGATGTCCCTCTCAAGGTAAGCTCTTCCCATACCCGATACACCCATGGCAATCGCTCACCATCCTCCAGCCCGGCACCAATGAAATCTCCATTCTCGGCTTCAGTCCAACCATTGACAAAAATTCGGTCATGGTTGAGGGCAGCGGTTCTGCGACCATCACTGGCATCAGTGTCGAATTTGTCCCTAACCACGAGCTTTTTGACGATGTCTACCCCGAAGATGATTCGGACGACTCTCTTAGTGACGATGACATTGATGAAATCAAGGAAGAAGACGAGTATCCGGGGCTAGCTCAAGCCCTAGAGCAAGAGCAAGACCTCAGAGACCATCTCGACAAAGCAAAGGAGGAGATCCTCAATGCCGACGACCGCCTCAGGATCCTCGACAGCTACTCCAAATCACTCGACAAGAGGGAAGGGGTCATCATCAGTGAGGTCCTTGAGACGTACAAGCAGCAGCGTGAAAGAGCCCACGAAGATCGCATGGCTGGTATTCTCCGAGAGCGCACCATCATCAAGGCCCTGAACAAGGCCGAAAGCGAACGTTGCCGCCTCTCCAAACTCAAGGACAAGCAAAACTACAAGACATTCAAAGCCCAGAACAAGGTTCAAAAGGCAAAGCAGAAGGCAAAGTCGAAGCAGCTGAAGCGGATCGAGGAGAAGCGCAAGGAAAAGGAGCGCATTCGCAACGAGCGCGCTCGCTGCTGGCCCAAGTACTGCTACACCGTCCACATCCAGCTCGAGGTCAACCCTTCCTTCACCCCATCCTCTTCTCGCCGCAGCTCTTTCTCCAGCGAGGTTGATGTCGTCAAGCGTTCGGAGAGCCGGACCGTGCCGGTGGAAGAAAACCCCATGTGCGACCTACTTCTGTCGTATGTCACCAACTCAGCCTTCTGGACCCCCAGCTACGATCTTCAGCTCTCGACGGTCAATGCCACAGGCACACTCTGCTTTGACGCCGGCCTCCACAACACCACGTCCGAGACTTGGGAGAACTGCAAGATCACCCTGTCAACGTCTCAAGCAACATCCTCGACCCTGGATGACTCGATCCCCATCCTCGTCCCTTGGCACATCAAGCTAGCGAGCAAGGGCTCGGCCGGCAACATCTTCAACAGCCGACAGGAACGCCAGCAGAAGAACGAGTGGCAGTCCAAGAAGATTGCGCCGCCAGCGCCCAAGCCGAGACAGGAAATTTTTGGTCTCAACACAGCCCCAGCAGAGAGCGATTACCAGATGCAGCTCATGTTGCTGGAACAGCAAAACAAGAAGAGGCTGATGATGGCCAGACAAGAACAGGACGGCCCTGCGGGAGCTCAATGGGGTTCCCATGCGCCTCAACACATCATGCAGCAGCGACAGATGCTTCAAGCACAGCAACAGGCGCAACAGCAACAGCAGCAGCAACAGGCGCAGCGGCAACAGATGCTGAACCCGCAGATGACGGGAGCTGCGCAGATGATGCCGCAACAGATGCCGCAACAGCAGATGCAGATGCAGATGCAGATGCAGGGGATGATGCAACAGCAGCAAGGCCAGCAAGTACTCCAGGATTTCTCCATGTCAGAGGATTTCAATGCCGATGGCGACGACGTCACGATGCCCGATGCACAGCCTTCGCTCGAGTTTCAGAACTCGCTCGTCGAGGAGACTGGCTTCACGACCACCTACGACTTGCCCGGCCTCAAGACCTTGGTGCCCAAGTTCACTGTCTCCAAGCAGCGCGTTGCTCGCCTCAACTTTGCCCACGTCTTGTTCAGCCACACCGTCGTAGCCAAGTACCAGCCTGTTGCATACCTCAGGGCCAAGCTTCGCAACAACAGCAAGCTCACTCTCCTTAGGGGCCCTGCTAGCTTGACGCTCGACGGTAGCTTCATGGGACAGGCCAAGATTCCCCGATGCAACTCAGGTGAGATCTTCAGCCTCAGCTTGGGCGTTGACTCGGCCATCAGAGTCATGTACCCCAAGCCTGATGTTCGAAGGAGCACGAGTGGTATGTTCAGCAAGGAGGATAGCTCTGTGTACGTCCGCGCTGTCACAGTGCACAACACACGCATGACTGCTACCAAGCCAGCCCAGGTGCTTGTCTTGGACCAGGTCCCCGTCTCGGAGGATGACCGCTTGAGGGTCGATATCTCGAACCCTCGCGGTCTGACAGTCGGCGGGGCGCCCCAGGCGGTTGGACTTCCGGGACGGGAGACACAGGAGGACAAGAACTGGGGCAAGGCCACTGCTACCCTCAAGGGGGGCGGCCAGATCACGTGGGACGTTTCCCTCAACCCAGGCAAGGCCGTCAAGTTGGGCTTGGAGTATGCCGTATCGATGCCAAGCGGCGATGCTGCCCAGGAGTGTTGAAGAGGTGGTTCGTAGTCACGTGCAAAATGTTTCTTTGTCGAGTTTCTATAGGTAATGGGTCAAATCACGATGGAATGTTCAGGATGTTTTACGTCACAGAATGGAAACGCAGGATTGGGTGATGTTGGTTGTTCTACATAGTCTCTGACAGAAAGTTTATACATGATTTGGCAGAATCCTTGCCGGTACACCTCGTTCTCCTCTTGCCATCTCTAATGAGGGCCTTGTTCTCTCCTGTAATACCCGAACCTTGTTCGCTCGCTCACGGCTCTCTAGCCGGGTCTCGTCCGTTCGTTCGGTTGTCGATCCTTGATAGTAGAGTTCAGTCAGAACTCGTGCACTCGGTTTGTGCTTCGGATAGTGTTGATGTCAAATAGAAAAGAAGTCTTGGTTCGTAATGCTTTGCCAGTACGCGGAGACAGGCGCTGTGTCGTGGTGATGTTCCAAGAAGGGTGACAGACAGATAATTCCTCGACAATGTGTTGATCGCGACTCTGGTGTTGGGTTACTTGATCCTCAGAACAAGTGTCGGCCGAGATCAGTAGTCTCGCTCATGCAGTTCTGTAGTTCGCTGGCAAAATCTGAAGGAAAAAGGAAAGAAATTGTCAAACAAGTCTATCGGTGTCTCTTGGTTGGTGTCTGACATTGTTCTTAAACAGGTTGGTGAAGATCGGGTTGGAGTCCAGTAAGTCTGTCCTCCGGTTGGTGTGAAGGTCTGATTGGAGTCCAGAAAGTCGGTGAGTCCAGAAAGTCGGTCATCCGGTTGGCGTCTCAGTGACTAGCTGTCGACAGACGCAGAGCAGTTACTGCTCTGTCCAGGAGAAGGAGTGAGCGGACTCAAAAGGCTCCTCTGTGGTGCGTCGACGCTCAAGAGGGCTACCTGTAGTGGCTCGGTTCACACTTGCTGGCCTGTTCATAGTTCCTGGCTCTTCAAACATGCCGATCGAGGTAGGGTTCCAGTTGGGGGTCTCTGATGCCAACCCAGTGTACTCAAAGCCGCTTCCGTTGCGAGGCAGGTAGCGAGGGGGGTAGGGCGTTTGAGTTCGAACAGGATACTCAGCTGCTGCAGTTCTCTGCGCGTTGGTGTCGGGCAAATCTAGGTTCCAGCGCTCAGTTGCCAGAGGGGGGTAAGTCCCGCCAAAGTGGTTGATGGGTGCCTGGTAGACAGGTTGATAGCCGAAGGGCGTGTATCCGAATGGAGCGTACGGGGGGCAGTACGTCGGGAACGCCATGGGTTGCATCGGTGGCACAAATGGCACATAGGGATACCCAGCAGGGGCCTGTGGAGGGTTCACAACATATGGGTTGTGAGGAAGGAGTGGTTCCGGAAGCATTGGGAACAGTGGCTGCGACATGGGGACCTGAGGCCAGGGAGCCGCGGGCATCATACCTGGATGAGGGAACGGCACGTGGTGGAACGCGTTCGGGTTGACCACGTTGTAAGGGAAGACTCCATACTGGCCAGGTTGGCTTTCGTTCCCAACGAAATAGGAACCGAAGGATGAAGTTGCGCTATCGTCGAAGGAGCTGCCGTTGAGGGCATCGACCGAAGACCCGGCTTCCTAGCCCGGGTCAATGGTCCCGTTCGACTGGTGGATAATAGGACCGTTGTCTTCCTGGGGCTGAGGCCCCCAGCAGATCTCACACGTTTTCTCAAAGGTCTTGTCATTTCCACAACGAAGACACATATGGATTCGTGGCCAACCCAGCTGCTCCTTGATGCTCTTAGTGCCAGGCGGCCAAATGTAATCCTTCTCGGACTCCGTGAGAGGGATACAGTTAAAACAAATCCCTCTCCATCCGACCGATGGTAGCACATTATCGCACATGTCGCACAGCCTCCAGCGGCCGGCCTGGAAAGCACAACGTCCGCAGTACCCAAAGTACTCGAACCCGCTGCCTTCTTGGCAGGCCATGCAGTTTTGTGTAGTTTTTGGCGACATACTCTGGTCTCGATCATCAGAATCAGCGTCTGTGAAAGGCGAAGATGCTGTTCCGCGGTGAGTTCTGGCAGGCTCAGGGGTGAGGGCAAGGTGGTTCTCCTCATCAGAGTCGTTGTCATTGTCAGGGCTGGGGTTGATATTCGAGTAGAGATCTAGAGCGCCAGTCATGGTCACATCCTGAGTGTCAGGCTGTTGGTTGCGGTTGGCCAAGATGACGGTGCTAGCTTCCGAGTGGTCGTCAGAGTCTCTGTCGATGAGGGCACCGCCGCTGAAGGCGTCAGAGAAGTCTTCGAGTTCGTCCAAAGACATGTCGTCAGTTGGGGATTGGTCAACAGTTTCTCCCAAGGTCATCGTGTCGCTTTGAGATTGATCTTCAACATCTCTGAGGACCAGGGCACCAGCGTCGACTGTGTCGGGGTCTTGTTCGATGTTGTTCAACATCATGCTGTTGGTTCCGAAATCTTCGGGCTCCTCTTTGATTGGTTCCATGATGAGGAAATGATCCAAAGCGATGCTTTGACGTCGTTCTTGTCTAGGAGACTTGTTAGCACCTGTTCATCAAAGGAAGCTTGATCAAAGCAACTTACCAAGAGACGTGTGGTCGAGAGACAGGAGTGTTACTTGCGTCCTTGAGGGTGATCACGACTTTCAAAGTGCTTAGTCGGAAATGATGGCGGTCGGAACGTGCTTGATGTTGTGATCACCGCGATGATCGTGAAGAGGTGTGGTCTTGAGAATAGTCGCGACAGGCAGATTTGCTCAGTTGTAGACGATGGCGATAGATGTAGGCACTTGATCTTACAGATGGTCGCGATGAAGGGGAGATGCTTGACCTTGGGCGGCCACGAGATATGGAGGTAGATGAAGGTTGGTAGATATGCTCCAACGTCAAGCAGTGCTTGTGGTCAAAGACGATGCCGATGAGAAGATCGCGATAGATGAATATTCTCGATCTCTCAAAGGGTCGCCAGCGGTGAATGTGCTTGATCTTGGAGGACAGAAGAAGGGAAGATGATCGACCTTGACGGCCACGGGAAGGGAAGGGGATTGATGTTGACGATGTCGAGGGGAAAAGATGCTTCAGATGCAAAGGCAGAGTCTTGACCTTGATGGTTGCCTCAGGAAAAGAAAACAAAGCACCCGACCTTGGGGAGATCGCGAGAAGCGATGACGCTCAAGAGTCGAAGGGGGTTTGGTCTCGAAGATGACAAGAGGAGAAGATACTAAACCTTGGCGGAATCACGAGAGGTGAATCTACTTGACTAGAAGCGATAGCGAGAAGTGAAGATGCTCGTGCTTGTCGAAGGTCGCAGGAGGAGGAGGTAGTCGATTGTTGTGATGATGACGAAAGATGAAGCGCACGACCTCGATCGAGGGCGGGCACCAAGGATGAAGATGCTCGATAGAGAATACGATGATGACAGAAGAAGAAGGGCTTGAAGAGATCGACTGTCAAAGGAGCAGAGGGAAGAAGAGATTTGTGTGTGGTTGTGCGGGAGGGGGAGAGAGAAGGTGGGAGGAAAATGTGTTTGGGAGGAAAAAACACCAGCCGCTCCAAGTTGAGGCGCGGGTTACCAAAACAACCGACGACAACCACCGCGCCGCCCGGTGAATCACTTCCAGTTTACCGTAGTGGGGTCACGGGCTACCGTACTGCACCTCAACACCTAGATATTAGCTACGTCAGTTTATTCAAGGCGTCTATAGTGAATAGGGATACCTGGAGGGACTGGACTCGTCCCCGGACTTGGAGTTGCCGGCCGCTGCCAGCTGCGAGGCAAGCTTGCGTTGGTCGTCTCATCCCATGCGTGCCTCTATTCAATGAATCTATTCGCCTCGTGCTTCTATTGTAGTCCATTGCATCGTTACTGTCCTCCTCCTGCTTGAATTATATCGGATGCCCCATTCTCGAATATCCCTTCCGTCTCCTTTAGCCTCGTCCTAAGAACAATCTTCCTTTTCTTCGGCCACTGCACGTCTCTCTTCCTCTTCATTCTTCTTCTCCTCGTCGCTGGCCATGTTCGAACGTCCGCGAACATCGACCCGTGAACGTCAAAGAACAGAACATCACCAGGACAGAGGTAAGCCCCAGGTCGCCAGCCATTAATTCCGCACCACCATTCCTCCATGCATACTCCTTCGTGCAAAAGAGTGCATCGATTCTATTCTTCTGGCGGTTGGTGTGCTGGTGGCCAGCTGCCAGACCTCGTCGACAGACTCCCCCTCCGCCAGGTCACGAGGCACCTCTTCTACAGCAAACACCTCGAGACACTTCGAGGACCACCCACAGCTGCTGCCCTATTCTTCCTCTCCCCTTTCTTCAGACACTGACTTTTAGTCTTCCCAGATCCTTCGCCGCCCGACTCGCCGTTCCCAGAGGAAAGACCATCGATCTCGATTTCAATTCTCCTCCTCCCAGCCAGAGCGTGAACTACCACCGCATCATCGGACTCGACAGTCGCAAGGCATTCAGATCAAGGCCATCCTTCCTCTCGTCGCTAACATGCAGGAGGGCCCCCTTTCTCTCCTCCTCGCCTCGACTTGAAGCGACCGACAAGGAGAATGCACCCAGGTGCGTTCAACCTCCGTCTACCACCCTCCCCTTGACCCCAGATGTTGCGCAAGTGCGTTTCTAGAAGCCTCGACAGGTGGTAGAGGAGCTACGGCCATGTTCGCGGACCGTCCCTCAGCTTTGGACGTTGCCTCGGTACTCTTCGCGAAGACGAGTGCTCGAGAAGCGCCCATCGAGGCGATTAACAGGCTCGATCACGTCTGTACAGTCAATTCTAACTTCAGGAATAGGGGTCTTACCTCTACGATTACCACAGCTACGGCCTAGGGCTGTCTGAGGGAAGCTGCGTGACGAATTCGACGGGGTTAGCACTCTACGATTCCCTTGACACGATCTCAGGAGCTCACAGACGTCTACAAAACCTTGGTGTACAACTTGAATACATCTGTTCAGAAATAGAATACAATGGATACCAAGGCACTGTGTTCAGGTACGTCCAGGCACTCCGATCTTGGCTCAAGCCTTTGTCCTCAGCCAACACCATACCAGACACTTCCTACTGCAGGTTTCCCAATCGTCCAGCTCGTTCAAAATACCCCGTGAAACCGGTACTCTACCTTGAAGCAGAGTCTACACGACCCCCTGAGTCTGGGAGCAACTCGCCCGAAGCTCCTTGAAGATCGAGACAATTCTAGATGTTGGACTTCTTTCGACACCCTTGTCACACGTACCTCGTCAGTCCATGAACCTTATCCTTATTAGAGGGAATTACTTCGGAGAACACTGACTTTCCAACGTCGTTGTTAACGGTCTTGTGGCTGACAACGGTCATCACAGGATCCCCTACTTCCTCTCCCACACACGATTGAAGATACCTATTGAAAACTCAGCCGCGATCCAAGCGTAATATCCCACCGGATGGAAGAAAGAAATCCGACCATATGCCCTCTTCAAGGACTGACCGACGATTCGCATAGGGGGCTAATCCCCAGAAGAGTCTCTCGAGGCACACTACGAACCCTTTTCCAATCTCCCAGCTCCCCATCGCCTTTGAAAGGATCAATAAATACGTCGGTCATGTTAGTCAAATCTTGACAGGCAATAGGGGAGGACGTTGTTGCGACGGGGCTGCTCTCTCTAACAAAAGCTTCCCCTTCCAGCGACAAGCGAAGCCGAAAGCTTCTCGCATGCTGCTAGAACTGTCGCAGATTGGACGATCGGTGATTCCAAACTTACTGTGAGTTGCTGCAACACGGAGGACAGTGTCCTCTACTTCTCCTTTGGGGCTGGCCCGGGGTAGCTATCCCCTGGGTAGAATGAATCCAAGCTAACACCATTCTTGCGTTCCCATACATAGGTAGTCTAACAGGTGTGCCATACTCTTCGCTCTCCTCTCGACGCTGCATACAGCATAGCGATAGCCAATCACCTCCCGACCTCACTTTATTGGACAAGGCTGCGAGAATTCGCAGATGAATCGTTCAAGAAAGTGTATTTTCTTCCTATTCCATTATGTGACAGCTCAGCTCCTTGGTGTGTTCTCTCCCTACTCCTACACTTTATGAAACTGGTTCCACTAACCCATTTCAGCTCCCCATGTCTTCATATACTCGAAAGAAGTCCCATAGTTGACCCAATAAAGCTCGATGGTCAACCTGGAGTACTAGGAGATACTTGGGCCGAAGGACCGGATCTCCCAGCTAGAAACATGGATCCTATGGAATATTCCTGCCCTCGGATCGACTCTACACATAGCTAATCAGGCATGCTAGGTTTTCCTTCCCAACAATCCCGAAGACCCCGACGATTTCCCCTGACGAACGAACGATCAGATCGAACCCCTCTATAATGCCGAGCACGCGAGAGGAGCTCCCTCTATTACGAATAAGAATCATCAGGCCAACCAAAGCCCTCCGAGCACATCTCTCAGTCAGTGGTAGCTATGGCCTTGTCGCGGGACAATGACAGAGAACGACCAGCTTTGCGGACGGTTCATGATGCTTTCACTCGAGTTGAGCAGTCGACGTTTTCTTAGGCGTTCATACACTACGGCCCAAGCTCGTTCCGCCGTTTCGTCGGCTTGCGTCTCACGGAGGACGAGGGAGTCCAAGCACCGCCTTGAATCGTCCAGGTCTCATCACGTCATCTGCCCAGGAGACAAACCCAACGCCAAGGGCCAAGCTCCCCGGTGCATAGCGCCCCCGGAATAACTGTTCTATTCCACGCAGATGAGTATCGTGGCCCATATAATTACCTGTGTCTCCTCACCAGCGAGATCTCGAATGGTGGGAGTCAGAGTTCCCGAACTGTTGCCCCTTTATCCCAGTGTAGCAGTCCAGTGCCCGAGGTAAGTCGCATCTTGCGAGCAGGGTCTGGAGGAGGCCTCTTTACAAGTCTCCATATTCTTGGGAAGCTCTTTCGAATAGCCGAATGTCAGTTATAGTGGTACTTGCAATTCTGAGGTTGCACAAAAGCTTTTGGAATGCCATCGTCCTAGCTCGCTGTTCATGCCACGCTTAGGGTCAATCAAGCTACTTCAACCTTACCATCGGCACTACCAGACAGAACTTACGGTCTTCAAGCGTTGCAGTCATCTTTTTTTATGGCACTGAGAGGTTCAAGTCGCGATGCAATGAGTACATAATGGCCTTTCCCCCCTGTGTTAAACCAGGGCAAGTCTCGCCAGCTATGAATGCCCTACAGCCAATCAACTTTTTTTTCATGATTAACACTCCACTACATTCAATACTCATAGAAAACCAAAGTCAATTATTTGGTTGCGAGCCCGGGAAATGTGAGGTTGAGATATTGGTTAGACGGACTTTACAGCCATGAGGTTGACTGTCACACTAAAGCTTACGTGATCGGCCGTTTCTGCTACCCTATACTCGACACTCGAAATCACGTTGTGTTGGAATTCATGTGATTTCGAACACAAGAGTGTGTGGGAGTTAATAATAAAGCATGATTATGTGTT